TTGCTGACTTGAAAGAAAATTGATCTACTAGATTGTTTAGTCATATGATGGAACAAGTCATATGATTTATGAATACTTGTTTTTCACAAAATGTGCCCCTCTTGGTGTTGGCTCAATGTTTCCTGCTTGCGATTTTTTAAATTAAGTTGGTGAGTTTCTGGTCTCTAAGATAAGTTTTTTTTCCCCCTTTGAAGAGTTAGAGTGTCATTCACATTTTGCTTTTCAGAATTGCTCGGCGTTGTGCCCACAACAGCTGGTAGCTTCGTGGTCAGTCTGCCAGTTCCTTAAGGTACGAGTTGGAAAGCCTGTGGATCAAAATGTTCTGTAGTTCGGAAGTGCCTCCGAGTTCAGAAGAGCCGAGCCCAACACAGCCTCAGAGTCACTCAGATGTAGCCTGTCAGCTGGGGACAGTTGGCATGGAGGGGTGATTTAATGATGTCTCTGGTACATTCAGATCCCAGCCTACTCCAGACTTTAGGCTACAGGGTCAGGTGTATTGCATTTCTCTGATTATCAACTTTAGTTTCAATCTATGTGTTTCCTACAGTAAAATTGTGGGTGGAACATGAAGTGAGTGTGTATTGCTTTTAACCTGTGACAGTTTCAGGACTCTACTAGGAAATCAGCAGCAGTTTCTATGGCTGCCTCTACCCAGGTGATGTAGCAGGTCTGAAATCAAAAGTAATCAAATACGACCTGGGAGAGCAGTCATTAACTTATGTCTTAGTTGAGATCAAGAAGACTGTGTGATCTCTTTGGCATCATGGATAAGAAGGAATGAGATGGAAAAGCCCAGGAAAAGAAAGCTGTCTGAGCACTAGAAGGACTCAGATTTGCCCCTGGTTCTCTTAAATGAGGGACTTCCCAGGTGGCACAGTGGTAAAGAATCCACCTGCCAATGCAGGAGATGCAGGTTTGATCCCCAGATCTGGAAGATCCCCTGGAGGAGGAAATAGCAACTCACTCAGTATTCTTGTCTGGAAAATCCCATGGACAGAAGAGCCTAGAGGGCTACATACAATCCATGGGGTCACAAAGAGTAGGATGCAGTTGAGCTTGCACACACACATGCTCTTAATTGAGGCCTTGTCCTAATAGGAAGCTGGATTCCTGCTATGTTGGGGAAACAGCTTGAGAACTCTCCTGGGGTCTCCTTGCCAATGAACTTCAGAGGACCTTCTGACAAAGAGGGGGTCTCTTGGTTTCATATAAAGCAAGAAGATAACTTCTGGGCAAACTGATGCCATGCTTGGAAGGGAGGGCTTAGAGGCCAACCCTCAATATAGCGGTTTCCCTCAGTGACGGCACTGGAGTTTCTGAAAAATTCTTCAAAAGCCTATAGCTGGGGATACATTCTTGTTTTCTTTTATTTTGTCTTTTGAAAAGTATTTGCTTATTAGGCTGCATCAAGTCTTAGTTGTGGCACACACGATCTTTGATTTTTAGTTGTGGTGTGCAGGATCTAGTTCCCTGACTGGGGTTCAAACCTGGGCCCCCTGCGTTGGAAGCATAGAGTCTTAGCCACTGGACCATCAGGGAAGTCCCTGGCATGCATTCTTGTGATAGGAGTTGGCAGTGCTGAAGTCTGCAACCATGAGCTCAGTGTGCAGAAGCCCACCTCTCATTCTCCTAACCATGGAGGCACACTCCATTGGAAGCTTGTTTCTTGTCAGTTCAGTTCAGTCGCTCAGTCGTGTCCGACTCTTTGCGACCCCATGAATCAGCACACCAGGCCTCCCTGTCCAGCACCAACCCCTGGAGTTTACTTAAACTCATGTCCATCGAGTCAGTGATGCCATCCAGCCATCTCATCCTCTGTCATCCCCTTCTCCTCCTGCCCCCAATCCCTCCCAGCATCGGGGTCTTTTCCAATGAGTCAACTCTTCACACGAGGCGGCCAAAGCATTGGAGTTTCGGCTTCAGCATCAGTCCTTCCAATGAACATTCAGGCCTGATCTCCTTTAGGATGGACTGGTTGGATCTCCTTGCAGTCCAAGGGACTCTCAAGAGTCTTCTCCAACATCACAGTTCAAAAGCATCAATTTTTTGGCGCTCAGCTTTCTTCACAGTCCAACTCTCACAGCCATACATGACCACTGGAAAAACTATAGCCTTGACTAGATGAACCTTTGTCTCTGCTTTCTAATATGCTATCTAAGTTGGTCATAACTTTCCTTCCAAGGAAAGTTTTTAATTTCATGACTGCAATCACCATCTGCAGTGATTTTGGAGCCCCCCATATAAAGTCTCTCACTGTTTCCACTGTTTCCCCATCTATTTCCCATGAAGTGATGGGACCAGATGCCATGATCTTAGTTTTCTGAATGCTGAGCTTTAAGCCAACGTTTTCATTCTCCTCTTTCACTTTCATCAAGAGGCTTTTTAGTTCCTCTTCACTTTCTGCCATAAGGGTGGTGTCATCTGCATATCTGAGGTTATTGATATTTCTCCTGGCAATCTTGATTCCAACTTGTGCTTCTTCCAGCCCAGCGTTTCTCATGATGTACTCTGCTTATAAGTTAAATAAGCAGGGTGACAGTATACAGCCTTGACATACTCCTTTCCCTGTTTGGAACCAGTCTGTTGTTCCATGTCCAGTTCTAACTGTTGCTTCCTGACCTGCATATAGGTTTCTCAAGAGGCAGGTCAGGTGGTCTGGTATTCCCATCTCTTTCAGAATTTTCCAGTTTATTGTGGTCCACACAGTCAAAGGCTTTGGCATAGTCAAAAAAGCAGAGATAGATGTGTTTCTGGAGCTCTCTTGCTTTTTTGATGATGCAGCAGATGTTGGTAATTTGATCTCTGGTTCCTCTCCCTTTTCTAAAACCAGCTTGAACATCTGGAAGTTCATGGTTCATGTATTGCTGAAGCCTGGCTTGGAGAATTTTGAGCATTACTTTACTAGTGTGTGAGATGAGTGCAGTTGTGTGGTCGTTTGAGCATTCTTTGGTATTGCCTTTCTTTGGGATTGGAATGAAAACTGACCTTTTCCAGTTCTGTGGCCACTGCTGAGTTTTCCAAATTTGCTGGCATATTGAGTGAAGCACTTTCACAGCATCATCTTTCAGGATTTGAAATAGCTCAACTGGAATTCCATCACCTCCACTAGCTTTATTCAAAGTGATGCTTTCTAAGGCCCATTTGACTTCACATTCCAGGATGTCTGGCTCTAGGCGAGTGATCACACCATCATGGTTATCTGGATCATTACAGTCTTTTTTGTATAGTTCTTCTGTGTATTCTTGCTACCTCTTCTTAATATCTTCTGCTTCTGTTAGGTCCATACTGTTTCTGTCCTTAATTGTGCCCATCTCTGTGTGAAATGTTCCCTTGGTATCTCTAATTTTCTTGAAGAGTTCTCTAGTCTTTTCCATTCTGCTGTTTTCCTCTATTTCTTTGCATTGATCACTGAGGAAGGCTTTCTTATCTCTCCTTGCTGTTCTTTGGAACTCTGCATTCAAATGGGAATATCTTTCCTTTTCTCCTTTGCTTTTCGCTTCTCTTCTTTTCACAGCTATTTGTAAGGCCTCCTCAGACAACTGTTTTGCCTTTTTGCATTTCTTTTCCATGGGGATGGTCTTGATCCCTGTCTCCTGTACAGTATCACAAACCTCCGTCCATAGTTCATCAGGCACTTTGTCTATCAGATCTAGTCCCTTCAATCTATTTCTCACTTCCACTGTATAGTCATAAGGGATTTGATTTAGGTCATACCTGAATGGTCTAGTGGTTTTTCCCTACTTTCTTCAATTTAAGTCTGAATTTGGCAATAAGGAGTTCATGATCTGAGCCACAGTCAGCTCCCGGTCTTGTTTTTGCTGACTGTATAGAACTTCTCCATCTTTGGCTGCAAAGAATATAGTCAATCTGATTTTGGTGTTGACCATCTGGTGATGTCCATGTGTAGAGTCTTCTCTTGTGTTGTTGAAGAGGGAGTTTGTTACGACCAATGTGTTCTCTTGGCAAAACTCTTATTAGCCTTTGCCCTGCTTCATTCTGTACTCCAAGGACAAATTTACCTGTTACTCTAGGTGTTTCTTGACTTCCTACTTTTGCATTCCAGTCCCCTATAATGAAAAGGACATCTTTTTTGGGTGTTAGTTCTAAAATGTCTTATAGGTCTTCATAGAACCGTTCAACTTAAGCTTCTTCAGCATTACTGGTTGTGTTCTTGTCAGTGATATGAATATAGTAGCCCACTGGGGCTTAGGCTTCAATGAGAGTGAGAATGTACCTCTTTAGATATTTCTGATAGGCCTATGTGAGGGCTCTAGATCAGCATAGTTAGTGGGGGAAAAAGTAATTGAGCATCACCACAATTTAGGCAAAATCCAAAACCTGGGAGCTACCCCAAAGGCAAGGAGAAGGGACTGGTTCCATAGCTCTGGGGTGGCAAATTGAGAGAAAAGTATGGGAAGGAGTGGGTCAAGAAGCATGAGACTTACTCCAGTTCTATGAAGGGCTATATGTTTCTGCCCGGCCTTCTGTTCCTGGCTTCACAACTGGGCAAATGCTTAACTACAAAGCTCAGAAAGGAGGGCATAGAAAGCTGATCAAGGTGGGGTAGAGAATTAGGTCCTTTACAGATGTATTCAATGGCAACCCACTCCAGTACTCTTGCCTGGAAATTCCCATGGACGGATGAGCCTGGTGGGCTGCAGTCCATGGGGTTGGTAAGAGTTGGGCACGACTGAGCGACTTCACTTTCACTTTTCACTTTCATGCATTGGAGAAGGAAATGGCAACCCACTGCAGTGTTCTTGTCTGGAGAATCCCAGGGACGGGGGAGCCTGGTGGGCTACCGTCTATGGGGTTGCACAGAGTCGGACACGACTGAAGCGACTTAGCAGCAGCAGATGTATTCAATATATATTCACTAGGTGGGAAGGGGGGTTTCTTCTCTTTGGGCCTTCAGAGCCTTGGAACGGCCTGGACTCTGGTAGAATTCGGTGTTTTGGAATTAATGCTGTCTTTGTTTTTCCCTTTGGCCATGTACCTAGCGTGTGTCAGTTCCTGGAGTTGTGTCAGAGCCCAGAAGGTGGCTTTGGAGGGGGCCCTGGCCAGTACCCACACCTTGCACCCACGTATGCAGCGGTCAACGCACTGTGCATCATTGGCACCGAGGAGGCCTATGACGTCATTAACAGGTACAGCCAAAGCCAGCAGCACCAGACACCCAGCTGGGCTCCCGTCTGCTGACACTGCGCTGACCATCCCCTCCCCGTCTTCTCAGAGAGAAGCTTCTCCAGTATTTGTACTCGCTGAAGCAGCCCGATGGCTCTTTTCTCATGCATGATGGAGGTGAGGTGGACGTGAGGTGAGTGGGGTTTTTCTCAGGCTGCTGCATCAGCAGATTCTCAGGCTTATCTGCCATCAGAGATGCCAAACCCGGGGAAGGACACAGGAAATCGCCACCTTGTCTCAATGTCACACAGAGAGATGTGTCAGTGACATGGTTCATAATCCCTGCAAAAATGGGACAGATGTCATCAGGCCTCATTGTCACTTCACTTCTTTTATGTAGATGCCAAACACAAGTAACACAGAAACAAAATCAAATGCTTTTGTTTTAAAAATGAAAAATACATTTGCATTTGTTTGGTATGAGATGATACACCATGGATGTAACTGTATAGTGTAATATAATCTTTCATCTCTCTGGTATGGGAAGGGAGGAGAAGGCCCAGTGGGGACTTAGTAAATATTTTCTGAATGTATTTGATGAAAGCGTGAGAATGTTTAACACCTCTATGAGAACTGCTTTGGGCAGTGCAGAAACCCTTAGGGGCTAGTGGAGTCTATGAAAAACAGTGGCATTAACTGATTGGAACCAGGTGGTTCAAAATAATCCTTTTTTCTCAAGAATTGTCTGATGTACCTAGCAAGTTGTTTACTCACCTGGCAGGAGGTTCCCTATAAAATGTCTAGGGAATTCACTGAATTAGTCATTTCTCACAAGCAGTGGGTCATTGAGATATATACCAAATTATTATTGTTTAGTCTGATAAATAAATTGTTATGAGGTTTCTATAGCAAAGCCATCTTGTTGCCTATTTGTAAATGTGTTGTCCTCTACACGAATAGATAAATACTCTGGCTTTATTGGTTTGAAAGTATAGGGCAAGAAAAACCATGAAGGTTGTGGAGCACAGGACACATTGCAGATAAAAGGAGGTAACCTTTATCTGCAGAGACCTTCATGAATGGTTTTTCTATTTGTAACCTGTCTGTTCAAACCATAAAATAAGACTAGGTATCTGGAAACCTGGGTATGTGAAAAACTGTTTTTCTGCTCATAACACCTCTGACCTGAAATGTGGGGGTGTTTATCCTCATATTAATGACAGTAAGTACCCAGAGTTAGCACCGACCCCACAGGTTAAGGGCTCGGTCCCACAAGACTGTCTGCACTTCAGACAGCAGTCACAAGCAGTGGGTTCCCAGGTTAACCAATTCTGCCTGATTTGTAAATCAGGGGTCCCTTCTCAGTTCAGTAATTTTCCAGGACAGTTCAGAGAACTCAGAGAACATTTTTCTAATACCATTTATTATACAGGACATCATAAAGGATACAAATGAACAGCCACATGAAGGGGCATACATATAGGATGAGGTCTGGAAAGGTCCAGAGTCTAAGAACTTCTGTCCCCATGACATTGGGGTGTGACACCCTCCTGACAGGCACTTGGGTGCGTCCACCAACCCAAAAGCTCCCTGAACTTCTTCATCTCGAGTGTTTTAATGGAGGTTCCATTATGTAACAGAGAAGGCAATGGCACCCCACTCCAGTACTCTTGCCTGGAAAATCTCATGGACTGAGGAGCCTGGTAGGCTGCCGTCCATGGGGTCGCTAAGAGTCAGACACGACTGAGCAGCTTCACTTTCACTTTTCACTTTCATGCATTGGAGAAGGAAATGGCAACCCACTCCAGTGTTCTTGCCTGGAGAATCCCAGGGACGGGGGAGCCTGGTGGGCTGCCGTCTTTGGGGTCACACAGAGTCAGACACGACTGAAGCGACTTAGCAGCCACAGCCATTTTGTAGGCATGATTGTTTAACTGATCGGCCATTGGTGACTCAGTCTTCTGGGGAGTGGGGCAGAAAGTTCCAACCCTCTGATCCCATTCCTCTGGCAGCCAGCCCCCATCCTCCAGGAGTCACCTCAGTAATATAAACTCAGATATGGTTGAACGGGGCTTGTTATGAATTACAAGACTCTCATCCCATTACTCAGGAAACTCCACTAGTTTTAAGATCTCTGTGCCAAAATGACCAAATATATGTTTCTTACTATATCACAATACCCCAGTATCTGTTGTTAAAAGATAAACAGGGGCATGTTAAAAATTTTATAACTTATTTGAGCAAAAATTGATTAGAATAGGGCAGCATCCCATCTCGCAGATAGGAAGGAAGCCTGAGGAGAGCTGTGCACAGTGAGAGACCTCGGTAGGCAGAAGGGGCCCGGGACAAGGAAGTAACATCAGGCACTTATCAAAGTGTGGGTTGGCCGTTGCAAAGCCACTTTCCTTGAGGGGCCGGCAGGGGTCGACCGGCAGAGCATCTCACTAGTGCTGATCAGGTGGTTCCTGACTGGTTCAAGATCTCATTTCTGGGAGAGCAGAAACCATGATGAAGTCTTGGTTTGGCGATGTGGAGTTTAGCATAAGGGACTCCTTCTGGGGTCTCTTGTCTTGTTTTTAGCACTGTATATACCAGTGAGGGTGTCCTGGGTGGCTCAGTGGTAAGGAATCTGCCTGCCAATGCAGGAGATGCAGGAAACATGGGTTCGATCCCTGTGTCAGGAAAATCCTCTGGAGGAGGAAATGGCAACTCATTCCAGTATTCTTGCCTGGAAAATTCCATGGACAAAGGAGCCTGGTGAGCTATAGTCTGTGGAGTCTCAAAGAGTTGGACACAACTTAGCAACTGATCACAATGCCAGTGAAGCCAATATAACTATTGAGGAGAAGCAGTATTGTGTTGACATCTTTAGAAAAAAATTAAAGGGTGTTTTTCCCCTCTTGTTCACTACACTTTCATCCTGTTCTGCAGATACTCCAAATGTAGCCTTTTAACGTTTCCTGAGACTATAGGTGAAAGCAGGCAAACCCTGGCAAGATAGCTTTGGCATTTCATTGCTTACCTTTTTCAGATATGATTATTCTCTAACTTACTCATTCCGGTGTCGGTTTTCTTCCGTGTTCTTATTCATATCTGCCAGACAAATGCAAGGAAGCTCCTCCAATAAAATAGACTTGTTTCTGCGGAGCTCTGTAACCATATACCTCCTCTGGTAACATCCTGCCATTGGAGCCATGCTTTACATTTACAGAGGATTAAAGATGTGAACGATGGATGCAACCTACAGGCTGCGTCCCATTCCCCCGCTCAGCATGATTTCTCGTGCCCCAGTTCCATCGCTTTTCACTTGATTTTCCTTGAATTGTCTTTGCCTGGGAGCATCAGCAGTTGCTCCTGAGAGCTGCCAGGTGGATTTGACCTGAAGAGAAGCAGCAGTTGACGGGGACTCTGTGGCATCTGGAGGCTAGCCTGTCTCCTGGGTTAGAACCGATCTCTTGATATTTCAGGTCTGTCACAACTCCTCATTTCTGAGATGAGCTTACTCAGGCATTCACAGCTCCCATGGACTGCCACTAATCCAAGTCAACTTGTAACCAACACCGTCTTTTCCCTCAGCTCTTAAGAAAGAAGCAATTATTTATTCCTGACCTCCTAATCTAGGTTATGTAGCCTGGAGTATTCTGGGAGGGTAGTGGGAAGATAGGGACCCAGCATTTGCAAAAGTTTTGGCAACAGAGTGTAGAGTGTGTTTGGGGAAGGAGGAGGTCAGTGTTGCTGAAGTGCAGAGGGGGGCAGGCAGAGAATGAAGCTGGCTGGCCAGGCTGGGAACAGCCCGAGGAGCACTGCAGTCTCCTTGAGAAGTCTGGAGTTTATTTTAAGGGTAGCGGGAAGCCACTGACAGGTTTTAAGAAGGGAGTGACATGATCTGATTTGTGTTTTGTTAGAAATTCTATGGTGAATACATTGGGCTTCCCAGGTGGTTCAGTGGTGAGGAAGCTGCCTGCCAGTGCAGGAGACCTGGGTTCGATTCCTGTGTCGGGAAGATCCCCTGGAGAAGAAAATGGCAATCCACTCCACTATTCTTGCCTGGAGAATTCCATGGACAGAGGAGCCTGGCAGGCTACAGTTCATGGGGTCGCAAAGACACGACTTAGCGACTAAAAGGAACACGTGAATGCATTATGGTGTTTTAGTGAAAATCCTCTGGTTTCAAGGCTGGAGGGAGGAAGACTGGACAGGAAACTGACCCAGATTAAGGATGACTTAGATTCGGGTGACAGCAGGAGGATAGAGGGTAGTTGACAAATTTGAGAGATACAGCGACTGGATAGAGGGACAGAGGAAGCTGATGCTCAGGAAAAGTGTATTTTGTTCACTCATTGTCTCAGAGTGAGGTCTGGCAGCAGATCTCAGGTCTTCCGTTTATGAAACAGACCACACTGCTGACTGCCTCCCTACCTCAGAGGTTATATTCACATTCAAGAGCAAACACTTTTGAACCCCTTTGTGAGACTCAAGACCTGAGAGGAGTTAGGTCAGACTTTCGAAGTTAGCTTATGGTAGATGATAATACTTGGCAGAAAGGACTCTTGCATGCTTCTCATGCTTGTTGGTTTAACTCAGCCTCCTCTGTGCCTTTGGCCAGTGTGAGCAGGCTGATTAAAATGCTGGGGGAATAATGCCTGCAGCTCACTGGAATGCTTCAATATGCTTGACTTAGTATTATGTCCATATAGAACAATATGGTAGCTCGACTCTTCTTTTATATTCCTTAGGAGCCCTTAGATAAAGGATCTTGAAAGAAAATTAGAACAAACAGGTTTGTCTTCAACATAAAATGAAACTGGGATGTTGGATGTTTGAAAAGACCATGTGCTAAGTCGCTTCAGTCGTGTCTGACTCTTTGCAATCCCATGAGTTTTATAGCCTGCCAGGCTCCTCTTTCCATGGATTCTGCAGGCAAGAATGCTGGATTGGGTTGCCATTTCCTATTTCAGGAGATCTTCCCTACCCAGGGATCGAACCTGCATCTGTTGCATCTTCTGCATTGGCAGGCAGGTTCTTTACCACTAGCGCCACCTGGGAAGCCTATAGTGGAAAAGAAAAGACAGTTTGTAGATGTGTTCTATACTAGAGGGAGAAGCTGAAATAAAATGTGTCCTGAGAAGAATTAGGGCTGGCAGGATGGAATGGCAAGAATTATTCTAAATCAAGTAGGATATGTTCTTTTTTCTATTTAAAGTGTGTGTGTGTGTGTGTGTGTGTGTGTGTGTGTGTGTACTGGAGGGGTGCTTGAAATCAAAACTCTTTTATCTCTCTAGAAGTCTAAGGAATGGATCTGAGTAGCTCATCTATTCTGGTCCCTCTGCTTGGTCCACGCAGCCATGTGGTCTGGCAGCCTGCTTTGGAGGTTGTCTATTTGAAAGAAATACGGTTAACCTTTAATGTGTCCATGCCATAATCATGGCACGTCCTGGATCTAAGAACAGTACTGACAGCTGAATGAATGAGCATCTCAGAAATACCTGAACGACAGCATGGAATTTTGGGAGCCATTGTAGATCTTTGAAAGAAGAGCTGAATTCACTGTTGACATAAATTGATACGGCTGTTATTTTGTCTGGTGTAGAGATTTGACTATGTGGAGGTAGGGAGAATAGAATGTCATGTTCTTTCTCTGAGACCATGCTGTGAGGAATTTGATCCAAATGGAATGTTGGAACTCCTGGTTGGAGACCAGAGTGAGGACAGGAGTGAGGACAGGTGGTGATTACAGCTTATGAGGCAGAGAGCAATCCACCCAAGAAGTTCAGTGAGCCTGTTTGAGCTCTTTCTGAGAGTGTGACACTTGCCCCTCTATTTCTGTCCTTCCAGAAGTGCGTACTGTGCTGCCTCGGTCGCTTCGTTGACCAACATCATCACCCCAGACCTGTTTGAGGGCACTGCTGAATGGATCGCAAGGTGAGAAATGCTGGGATTTGTCCTGTTTCTTAGAGGTCAAGAAGGCGGTCAAGACTTCTGAAAAATAAAGGAAGTGCAGAAGAACCAGAAGGGAATGTAAAATTACAAGAGACATCTTATGGTTGGGTTTTACATTTCAAAAATACTTTAAAAGTTCTCTTTTTTCCAGTTTTCTTTAATGTGATTGGCAAGGATCAAAACTCTGGGTAAACAATATTAGTCAGAGTCTAAATGGATTTAAACCAGTTTGAAGAGAATTTTGGAAATATCTCAAAAATGTTCTTGCTGATGACCCCAAAATTCCACTTCTCCAGAAACTCACATACATGCATGAGAGAGACAAATATTTATAATAGTAAATAAAGCTAGAAACGGGTTAAATGTAAGCATGAGATGGATAAATGAGTTGTGATGTAGTCATATTGGAATATAAGATAGCAATTAAAATGAGTGAACTAAAGCTACATATATCAATATGGGTGAATCTCAGAACACTATTGAGTTTAATAGTGTTAAACTACTGTAAAAAAAGTGTTAAAGAAAACATGCAGATTAGCACATTGACTGGAAATTTGAAAACATGCAAAACAATTCTGTATTGTTTATGGGAAGAATCATATGTAGTAATATAAAAACATGCTGGAAAGAATAAGCACCAAATTTAGGATGGTGGTTACTTCTGGGAAGAAAGCAAACAAAATGAGATTACAGTAAGTCTGCACTTCTACTCGGGCTTCCTAGATGGTACTAGTGGTAAGGAACCCACCTGCCAATGCAGGAGACTCAGGTTCAATCCCTGGGTCTGGAAGATCCCCTGGAGGAGGGCACAGCAACCCACTCCAGTATTCTGGCCTGGAAAAACCCACGGACAGAGGAGCCTGGTGGACTACAGTTTGTAGGGTCGCAAAGAGTTGAACATGACTGAAGTGGCTTAGAATGCACACATGCGTACTTGTACTCAGGAGACTTCAGTTGTATCTGTAACTGATTATTTGTATTATTTGCTATGCTTTCCTGATTCCTTCCAATTATTTCATAATTTTTAAAAAAAGGTATAGTAGGTTTATACATACTATTGAGGGATTATATCCAAGCTGTATTATTTTATTTTTTATATCTTAATTTTTATCAAAGTAGTACTTACTGCTATGAAAATATACTTTTCAGCTAAATCAAATGATATATTATGATCATATTTACTTTTTTGTATGACTTTTTTTCCCTCTGGAATTAATCATTACCTCCTAATTCCCACATTTTCTGCCAGAGCTATAAAATTACTCTCAATATGGTCAAACAATTCAGGTAATGTTATCAGTTCTCTTTTGTGTGTACATGTGTGTGCTCGTGTGTTTTGAGTTGTCTACCCCGGGGTCTCTGCCCTGCTGCTTCAGTCTGGACATATTGATCTCAGCTTGCTGCACAGTAGGCATCCAGAAGCTTCCTTTTAGCATGAAATTCACTTCACTTCTCTGCTTTGTTAAAGCCCCAGTCCTCCTTTCTCCTGGTTTACTTACCCATTTGAATGAATCACTTATCCCAACAGATCCATCCCAAAAAAGAGAACTTGGGAGATAGATTTTTAAGATTTTGCAATTATTTTTATTCTAGTCTCACACTTGATGGCTATTTGGTTAGAGACTTCTAAATTGAAAACTATAAATTATATTCCTTCAGACTTTTAAAGCATTGCTCCATTATCTTATGGCTTCCAGTGTCATTGCTTAAAAGGCTGATCATAATGATAGCCAACCTTTACTGAGGACCTGGTATGTAATACTTAATAGTAAGGGAGCTCTAGTTTAAACATTGAGAACATAACCTTTTAAACTAGGTGGCCTGGGTTTGGTTCTTTTTTATACCTTCTGTTTCTCAGTTGAGATTTCCCATTTTTTCATTCATTACAAGCATATTTTTCTTCATAAAGATAAATATAAAATTATAATATCTGTTTTAAAATTCTTGCCTGGAAATTTCAACATCTGGCTATCTTGGAGTTGACATGTCACGTTTTCCTGAGTGCCTGTGTCAAGTGGCATTTGGCTTGTACCCTGGACATCATGGCTTCCCAGGTGGCACTAGTGGTAAAGAACCCACTTGCCAATGCAGGAGACATAAGACTCATGGGTTCAATCGCTGGGTCAGGAAGATCCCCTGGAGGAGGGCATGGCAACCCACTCCAGTATTCTGGCTTGGAGTATCTCATGGATAGAGGAGCCTGGTGGGCTCTGGTCCGTAGGGTTGCAAAGAGTTAGACATGACTGAAATGACTTAGCTTGCATCACTGGACGTTGTGATGTTATGTTGTAGAAACTGGAGTCATTAGATTGCTTTAAAGAGTGTTGATCTTTTTCTCCTAGTCATCTTGGTTAGTTGATTGCAGTGGGCAGGGGCTCAGCTCTTGGGTCAGTTCTTAGAAAGTGCTTTCAATGTGTCCAGTGCATGTGTGATTCAGGGTCAGGTAGAAACCTGAGGGAAGTTTAAACGCGGGATTTGGTGTTTTCCTTCTCTGACTCTCCTCTTTCTGGGATTTCTCATCAATTTCTGTCATTCTGGTTCTTCTTGCCAGAAATATGGGGCTTTCAGTTTCAGCTGCCTTTCCACTGACCTGCTTGACACTGTTGGGCAACTGTAGCCATCCTCAGGGCAAATCAGGAAAAAAAGAAAAGGGAGGAATGGGGGAGAGGAAGGACTGACTGTTCCAACTTTCAAATCCCCGCCTTTTTTCATTCGCTGAGACTTCAGGAAGTAGTTTTAGTGTGTTTTGTCCAGAGCATGTAGTTATTAGTATTTGCAGGATTCTGACTGCCTGGGTTTGAAGCCCAGTTTTGTCATTTATTAGCTTTGTGCCTTGGTCAAGTTGTTTAACTTCTCCATGTTATAGTCTCCATATGCGTCAAATGATGGGATATTGAATTTGATATTAAGCTGAAATACAAAGAAATTTAAGTGGTAAAACTTGTTATGGTATCCACTGTGTGTTCCTGCCTCCCAGTCCACTGTATTCCCAGTCCACTGTCTGTTTCTGCCTTATTTCTCTTATTCTTGCTGTTCGGAAAATTCATGATGATGAGCCATGATAGGACTTTTTGTTGTTGTTCATGGTGCTGGGTACTCAGCAGGTATCTTCAGTCTAGAATTGCATGTACTTTACTTCCATACTTACTAAGAGGTTCCCTTACCTTTTATCTTCTAATCCTTCTATTGAGTTTTTATTTCTGTAATTCTATGTAAAATTTTTCAAAGCTTATTTTTAATCTCCATTTATATAAAAAAAGAATGCTTCTTTTTTATGTACTCTCTTGTTCTTGTTTCAGGGATATTTTGTCCTTGCAGTGTTTAAAAAGTTTACTTCTGCTCCTTATGTTATTTCCTCCAATTTATTTTTTTTTTATTTCTATGTCATGTTTACATAAAAATCTCTTTCACGTAAGAGCCTTTGCTCAAATGTCTGATGTTCATATTTAAGACTCGGGTGCTAGAAAGCTGATGGAGAGCTATGTTTGCCAGAGTGGCCTGGGATCCAGCCATTTATGGGGGAATTCTCATATATCAGTATCCATAGGATTTTTCCCTTGGGCTTATCTATTTATGTAGAGAACCTTCTAGATTCCTGGTTATGGTATGAAGCTGGCAGCCAGCTTTGTGAACTCTAATAGGGGAAGGGGGCTTCTCTGGTGGCTCAGCAGTAAAGAATCCCCCTTCCAATGCAGGAGATGTGGGTTTGATCCCTGGGTCGAGATGATCCTTTGGAGAAGGCAATGGCAACCCACTCCAGTATTCTTGCCTGGAAAATCCCATGGATGGAGGAGCCTGGCAGGCTGCATTCCATGGGGTTGCAGAGTCAGACATGACATTGCGACTGAACACCAACAACAACAGAGAAAGGGGTTGGGAGTGCTTTTGCTCAGATCATAGACTTCCACTTAATCCTCCTGCTCTGTACAGTACCTCCACCTGCTCCCAGCTGTGCTGGAAATCCTGGAATTCACACCTCTTGATTCAGCCCCTGCAACCTCCCATCTGCTGGGTACCTGGAGGTCTAACTGAGTCTCTTTATCAATTTACCACCAGTCAACTCAGTTAAAAAGCTTCCCACTTTAGTGGTAGCTTGCGTTCCTCAGCTTGTCATCGGAGAACATCACCTTGCTTTCTGTTGCTTCATCCCTCCTTCCCTCCCAGGGCTGGTATACGTTTCTCGGCTCTGTTAAGTCAGTTACTTCTTATCTTCATCCTTTTCCAGCTTTCACAATTTTGTTATCACCTCTCTGTATTCATATCCTCTCCTATTCTCTTTATCCTTATGGGTTTATCCTTTTTTAAAATTCCTTTACTTTCATTTTACTGGGCTCTTTTCGTTTATCCTTTTTAAAAATTCCTTTACTTTCATTTTACTGGGCTCTTTTCAATCCATTATACTTAGCTAGAAGAAACTCCCAAAGAATTTTGCTAAATTGCTCTCATGCATGTGAAAACAAAGGGATGGAAAGTGGAATATGTAAATAAATGCATATTGTGTGTGTGTGTGTGTGGAGAGAAAGAGACTGAGACATAGAAACTGTCAGTGGTTACTGCTGGTGAGAGGAACTAAGAGTTCAGGCTCAGCAGGAGTCATTAACTTTTTATTGTTTATTCTTTTATACTTTTTTTTTTAACCTCAAAAAATTTTAAAGCTGAGTTAAGAAAAGTTAAGAAAAAAAATTAAGAGGTCCCTTGCATATTCTTCACTCATCAGAGCTTTCAAAGTTGAGCTGTGCTATGCTCCAAGAAGCCAGATGCATTGGAAAGAAAATTTGGCTTGTGTGTCTTTGGGTGGCCATGGGGTTGAGGGATGGAGGATGCTGAAGAAGCTATTCAGGGGGCAGCAGGCAGTTTTTGACTCTGTGCTGTGAACTCGCTGGGCCTCGGTTTAGTTCAGTTCAGCCGCTCAGTCGCGTCCTACTCTTTGTGACTCCATGGACTGCAGCACGCCAGGCCTCCCTGTCCATCACCAACTCCCGGGGTTGACTCAAACTCATGTTCATGTTCATTGTGGAGAAGGAAATGGCAACCCACTCCAGTATTCTTGCCTAGAGAATCGCGTGGTCAGAGGAGCCTGGTGGCCTGCTGTCCATAGGGTTGCACAGAGTTGGACACCACTGAAGCAACTTAGCATGCATTGGAGAAGGAAATGGCAACCCACTCCAGTATTCCTGCCTGGAGAATCCCAGGGACAGAGGAGCCTGTGGGCTGCCATCTATGGGGTCGCACAGAGTCAGACACGACTGAAGTGACTTAGCAGCAGCAGCAGCAGCATGTTCATTGAGTCGGAGATGCCATCCAACCATCTCATCCTCTGTTATCCCCTTCTCTTCCCGCTCTCAGTCTTTCCCAGCATCAGGGTCTTTTCAAATGAGTCAGTTCTTCACATCAGATGGCCAAAGTACTGGAGTTTTAGCTTCAGCATCAGTCTTTCCAATGAATATTTAGGACTAATTTCCTTTAGGATGGACTGGTTGGATCTCCTTGCAGTCCAAGGGACTCTCAAGTCTTCTCCAACACCACAGTTCAAAAGCATCAATTTTTCGGCGCTCCGCTTTCTTTATAGTCCAACTCTCACATTCTTACATGACTACTGGAAAAACCATAGCTTTGACTATATGGACCTTTGTTGGCAAAGTAATGTCTCTGCTTTTTAATATGCTGTCTAGGTTGGTCATAACTTTCCTTCCAAGGAGCAAGTGTCTTTTAATTTCATGGCTGCAGCCACCATCTGCAGTGATTTTGAAGCCCCCCAAAATAAAGTCTTCCACTGTTTCCCCATCTATTTCCCATGAAGTGATGGGACCAGATGTCATGATCTTAGCTTTCCAAATGTTGAGTTTTAAGCCAACTTTTTCATTCTCCTCTTTCACTTTCATCAGGAGGCTCTTTAGTTCTTCGCTTCCTGCCATAAGGGTGGTGTCATTTGCGTATCTGAGGTTCTCAGGCCTCTCTGAAAAAGGCCTCTGGATTCCCAAGGCCTCTCCTTTAATGAGAGGTGCCTGGAAGACAGGAAGCACTACAGATTCCATTTTCTTCCACCTGAAAGTTGGATTAAGTGCTCATTGACCTGTACACCTGTGAGGATTTCTGAGGCAGACACGCCTGTAGGGAGTGTGACTCTACATACATATGAGTAGATCATTGGAGGTAAAGTTCTGTGTTATATGAAAATACACAGAAAGGAAAATTTCTTTATATCACACAAATAAAACAGGTTTATTAAGGCATGCAAAAAGAAAATCTAAAGTCACCAACCACTCGTTTGTTTCTTATCTTTCCAGAATTCCAGAAAAATCATGCAGTACATTATCATTTTATGACTTTTTTCATGTAACGTATTTGGAACATTTTAAAGTAGAAAGATGGTAACGATAACCCTATGTGCAAAACAGAAAAAGAGACTCCTATGTATAGAACAGACTTGTGGACTCTGGGAGAAGGCGAGGGTGGGATGTTTCAAGAGAACAGCATTGAAACACGTATATTATCTAGGGTGAAACAGTTCACCAGCCCAGGTTGGGTGCATGAGACAAGTGCTCGGGCCTGGTGCACTGGGAAGACCCAGAGGGATTGGGTGGAGAGGGAGGTGGGAGGGGGGACCGGGATGGGGAATACATGTAAAAAAAAAAAAAAAAAAAAAGAACTATTTTCAACAATGGAAAAAAAAAATAAATAAACATATTGTAAACAGTTTAAAAAAAAAAAGTATACTTCTGTAATGTCATTTTAAATGACATATAATATTCTGTTATATGGATATAGCATAATTTATATAACCAGTCCCTTACTATTGAGTTTTTGAGTTGTTTCTAATATTTCACTATTATAAATGGGGATACAAAGAAACATTCTTACAATCCAATCTTTGGACACATTCGTACTTACTTTGTAGGATTAATTCCTAGAAAGTGAAAAGTGAGAGTGAAAGTCGCTCAGTCGCGTCCGACTCTTTGCTACCCCATGAAGTATACAGTCCATGGAATTCTCTAGGCCAGAATACTGGAGTGGGTAGCCTTTCCCTTCTCCAGGGCATCTTCCCAACCCAAGGATCGAACCCAGGTCTTCTGCATTGCAGGTGAATTCTTTACCAACTGAGCTATCAGGGAATCCCTTTAATTCCTAGAAATGACCCTAATACTGCTGGGCCAAAGAGTTTCTATGACTATAAAATACAGTCATATTTTCTATATTAGCTTACATTATCTAATTATCTTATAATCCCAATAATTATTAATAATTTGAAAATATAAGAACTTGTAATTTGGAAAAATAAGTTTATTGGATAGCTATGAAAGTATATATGTTCATTCTGGAATCTTTTTGAAAACACAGAAAAATAAAGAGGAAAGGTATCAGCAGTAGATTTGTGTTAAAAGATAACCATAATTAGCAATTATTTTTCAATTTTATTTTAAACTGATGGTTATCACAGTATACATATGATTTCGGGAAGATCCCCTGGAGAAGGAAATGGCAACCACTCCAGTATTCTTGCCTGGAGAATCCTATGGACAGAGGAGCCTGGTGGGCTTCAGTCCATGGGGTTGCAAGAGTCGGACACGACTTAGCGACTAAATCACCACCACCACCACCACCACCACATATGATTTTATAACTCTTTCCAAAAAGTAATGATTTGAAGTACTGTTTGTTTGTTAGTAGACTATGTTTCCTTCTCTTTTTTTTTTTTTTTGGAGGAAAGTGTGAAAATCGCTCAGTTGTGTCCAACTCTTTGTAACCCCATGGACTATACAGTCCATGGAATTCTCCAGGCTGGAATACTGAAGTGGATAGCCATCACAAGATCTCCAGGGGATCTTCTCGACCCAGGGATCAAACCCAGGTTTCCCACATTGCAGGCAGAGGAAAAGGCATTTCTAAAAGTTAATTCGCTGGCATCTTTCCATTCATAGTTGCAATTTTTAAAGTAGAATTAGAAGGGTTGATTTATAATGTTGTGTTTAAGGTGTACAGCAAATTAATTCCATTTTATATATATATATATATATTCTTTTGCATATTCTTTTCCATTATAGTTTATCACAAGATACTGAATATAGTTGCAGCAGTTTATGCCTTAAGCTGAGCCACTTCACTCTTTGCCATCCAGGGTGCTCATTGGTTGACACTCAGTCGGGTTTTCTCGACCTCCTCCCAGGTGTCAGAATTGGGAAGGTGGGATTGGCGGGGTACCAGGAATGGAAGCTCATGGCGGCTACACATTTTGTGGCCTGGCTGCGCTGGTCATCCTCAAGAAGGAGCGCTCCTTGAACTTGAAGAGCTTACTAGTAAGTACTTGGTGATCTGTCTTCCCCTCAGGCCCCAGGCCCCTGGGATGTGACCTCTCAGACATGCCGGGGTCAGGGACGTTTGTCTGTGTGAAGAGCTGTCAGTTCCTACCTTGAGCTCTAGGCTGACAGTCCTGTAACAAGGCTTCAGATGTAGTTGTTGGATTGCCTAGCACTATTACGAGAGAGTGCAGGGGGTGAATATCTGCTCTCGGTCTCGGCTCCCTTCTTCCTGCCTTTCCTTCTCCTGATCTGAACCTTCTACATCGTGTGTTAGGCCAACCCCAGAGCCTTCTTGAGTCCCTCAGACAACTGGGGAGGGCCACATTACCTGCCTCTTACTTCTAGGAGAGTGTAGCTTCAGTCTCTTAAAACTAGAGGTTTTCACGTGTCTTAGGAAGATTCTCCTGGGAGAAGTTATGAGGAGAGCCTTGAGCATTTTGAAGCCGGGCTTTTATTACCCACTGCACTATGTGAATGTTCAGGTAGCTACTAAACCTTTACATGAGCTGGTCCCAGCTGGGGATACATGGAGCGGGTGGCCCAGGCATTTATGTCTCAACTCCAAGCTGCTGCCCATTATTCAGAGTGAACTCTTTATCCAGGGTGCAGTCAGCTTCAGGGACTTGTTGGGTGGTAGCTAAATTATCATTGGAGGCCTGGTACACACACAGAGCCACCAAGGAGCTGTCTTTGGTGCAGCTTTTACTCCCTTACGACCTCAAAGCAAATCAGCTGCACCTGACATTCATCTCCTCTCCCTAAGTTCAGATGCAGGTTGCATTGTAGAAACTTGGGAGACCCATCATGGTGTACCAAGAGAGTTTATATTTTTCCCTGTACAGATATGACCAGTGGCATTTTGTCTTGGCCTTTAGGAAGCCTCCTGTAGCATACTCTTCTTGAAGGTTCTTAAAGCCTGAAGGGTTTATGCCCAAATGGCTAACTTTATGCATAGACTTAGAGTTTATCAGACATTTAAAAACCTGATCACTGACAAGGTGTGAAACATAAAAGTCCCATCTCCCAGGCAGAAATAAGAAATAAGCAGATGTCTCAGTTCCAGTAACAGTGTTCTGGATTTGAACCCTTTCTCTGCCACTTCATAGCCATGTGACCTTGGGAAAATTGTCTAATCTGTTTTAACTTCAACTCTTTTTCTCCATAAGGTAGAGGTAATAGTTCTTTGAAGGCCAGAGAAGATAATATACATAAAACAGCCTGGTCTGTAGCAGGGGCATCCTTCTTACCCAAACTACTCCCTCTCTCTGTTTGCTCTGGGAGAACTAGGGCCCATATCTGAGGGATTTTATGAATTCACATAGCCAAGGGAAACAGAATAAATCCATGGGCTTAGGCACTGAAAAAAATTATTTAGTCTCTCTTATAAACACTTAATCTGTGGGGTAAGCAAAAATGAAGAATGGACTCCCTACTGTAGTGCCTGTTTTCTTGAGTAACGCTTCACCTGCTTTCTTTAGATGGCATCAGTCCTAAAGCACTGGTTCATGTAAGACTGACTGGGGATATATTAGTGTGTGTACCTGCAGTGCAGTTTTGTGTGTGTGTCTTTCTAAGAGTTTTAGGATTGTGACTCTGGGTGGTGTTGCCTTGAACAGGGATATAATCTAAACTCTACAACTGTTAATTAAAGGAGGACTGGACTGGTTCTTCCAAAGGGGGTCCTCAGTGACTCGTTTCAGGAACTCAGTGTAGTAAAACGTAGGTCCAGGGCAATGCCCTTCTCTGTACCTTTCAGTTTGGTGAAGCAGCTCCTTGAGATCCTGACTGGTGGCTGGAACTGTCTTGAGGGGCTAGGAGGGACGTGGAAATATTATCTGCCCAGCCAGTTGGTCTGCTCATTCCTCGAGGCCAAGCCCTTGACTATCTTGATGTTGGAGGTAGAGTGTGTTTAGAAAACTTGGAGATAAGGGAGGAATGTATCACGTGTGACCATTGAGTGACACCAAGAGCCATTTTATAGGTTCACAGTAAAGGCTATTCTTCTGTCAGCTAGCCAGCTTGCCCTGGAGCAGCAGAGCGGCTAGATGCACAGGCCCATCCTCGTTCACCAGGGCTAGTGGATTCTGCCCCTGGTTCTGTAAGGGCTGAGGGCTGTGCTAAGAAACCTGGGGTGAATTTCCTTGCCAAAAATGGTGTGAAATCATCTGATGACCTGTAGCACAAAATTCCATTTATTTGCTTTTAATAAACTTCCCTGAGCAAGGAAAGTGAATAGAAACGAGCCACCGGTGATCTGGCCTGAAACTTCCCGGTTACACCTTGTTTATTAAGAGGCGTTATTGCAGGTCTCCTTCCAGGCCAGGTTGGCCCCTTTGTTCTTTCAGCACCAGAACCCACTTGGAAGCCAGGAAAGGCGGTTAGTTGTCTGTTAGGCCCCAAGCAGGAATTCATGTGGTTGCCTCCAGAGGGTGAAAGTAGCTGTTGCAGTGTAGAGCCCTCTGTGACGTTGAGGGCGAGGAAGTCGGAGGTCAGAGCACGGGAATGGGAGCTGAGAAGCCAAAACCTGGGAACGCTGCCTCCCAGACCGGCCTCTGGAGAGCTGGCTGGATCACGTGTCTCTTTTAACCTCTGGCGCCTCTCTCTTCTCTGTCTCCCGCTCAGCAATGGGTGACAAGCCGGCAGATGAGGTTTGAAGGTGGATTTCAGGGCCGCTGCAACAAGCTGGTGGACGGCTGCTACTCCTTCTGGCAGGCGGGTCTCCTGCCCCTGCTTCACCGCGCGCTGCACGCCCAAGGTGAGCCCGGGGTTCTGGCGGGTCTGGTGGCTCCCCTCGGCTGCTGACCGAGTCAGAGGCCAGGGTGCTTGGTTAGAGGAGTTGAGACAGGCTCTGTCCATCCTGGATTTTGAGTACCTAGTGTGGACCCTCCCGCCCTAGGCACGCGAGTGCCAGCTAGGGTTTCGTCCTTGGATTCAGAGGTCACTGCTGCTTCACACTGGCTGTGGCAGGTGGGGGAGGTGGGTGCCTGGCCACGTGGTGACTGCCCCCTCAGCTGAGTGTGAAGCCACAGGTTCCGATGCAGAGCTTTGTGTGAGTCACGTCAGACTGAAAACCCGTATTGTGCACATGGTCACAACAGTGCCAAAAAGGCGGAAAGCAAAGACCCACCATGCCAGGCTGGCTGCGTGGTGGCTGCCATTAGAAGTGCCATAGTTTAGATTCACTGAAGAATCCTGGATGCAGGTTAGTACTGCCTCCCCACCCCCAACACCCCTGGAGTAGAGAGACCTGCGTTGGTCATCTCTGTGGGACCTCAGACGGGAATGCAAATCCACGCAGGGAAATAGAGAGCAAATTCCTGGGAGACTTCCCTGGTTTACCTCTTGAAATCTCAGGTTGCTTCCTGGATCATCTCTCATTTACTTCGTGTGAGAACAGGAAGGAAACCAGTGTGAGAAGGGAAGGTCATGGTGGCCCTGCTGTGTGCTGATCAGTCTTGGAGTACGATCCCTTGGCCCAGAAGAAGCTCAGTAGTTTGGGTTATTCTTTGCTCAAATGTGGAGATACGATTCTTTTCTATTGCCCCCCATCCTCCCGCCACCTGCTTGCCAGACACACAACTCTCTCTAGTTTGGCTGTTTTCTCCTGAGCCCCTTGCATTCGTTTCTTATTTGAAGTCAACAGAGGCTCTCTCCTGTGTGCCTGTCACCCCATCTTCCCTGTCGCGGCCTAGATCCCTCTGCCTAGAGCCCTGGTTTCAAGGTGCTGAGCTGTGGCCTCCCACCGACTCTGGAGCCTGCATGGTCCCTGCTTTGAACACTATAGTAGGAAATCAGAAATTCCCTGAGAGTCCAATGTTTCAAAACAAGAAGTAACTTGGGGTTTTAGTGATCTCTGTTTTTGGAACTGGTGAGGTCAAACCTCTGGTAACACATCCACCTTTCACAAGCCTGTCCCTGGAAGGGATAAGATGCAAAAATTCTGTAGCTGCCAGGAAAATCTGGTGAGAGGGTAACAGGAACCCTACCTGCCCAAGTATTCATGGGGTCCCTGCTTCACATTTTGCTTATGATAGCACAAGTTCTGGAGGATTGGTCCTACTTCCACATTTTCCTGTGGAAGAAAGTCAGTTGTCTGTGAATTTTGGTGCTTCCAGCTTTTTTCACTTCGTGGGAGGAGGCCCATATTAGGCCTATAGCTCACTTCTCAGCAAATAGTGGACTTGGACCAGGCAGGGATCTGGGAAGAAGATTTGAGTGGTGGACAAAATACTGATGTTGGGAGTCAGAAGGAGATGCAACATAGAAAGATATTCATAATATACTGTGGTCAAGTTAGGTTTCAAAGCAGTATGTATGCAATTCACCAGGGAAGTCCCAGGAAACACACTTTTAAAGTTTTATATCCTACTGTTCCGTTCAGTTCAGTCGCTCAGTCGTGTCCGACTCTTTGCGACCCCATGGACTGCAGCCCGCCAGGCCTCCCTGTCCATCACCAACTCCCGGAGTTTACTCAAGCTCATGTCCGTTGAGTCGGTAATGCCATCCAACCATCTCATCCTCTGTTGTCCCCTTCTCCTCCCACCTTCAATCCCTCCCAGCATCAGGGTCTTTTCAAATGAGTCAGTTTTTCACATCAGGTGGCCAACGTATTGGAGTTTCAGCTTCAGCATCAGTCCTTCCAGTGAATATTCAGGACTGATCTCCTTTAGGATGGACTGGTTTGATCTCCTTGCTGTCCAAGGGACTCTCAAGAGTCTTCTCCAACACCACAGTTCTTTTACCTTGTGTATTACTTTTATTTTAGTAAGTGAACAGGTATGTTTTTCAAAGGTGATGATGCTGACACTGATAATTAAAACAGTAACGTGGGACCAGCACACTGTGGCACATGAACCCAAGCCATCCCTGACTCAGCGAGTGGTCGTCAGGCCGGCAATAGTCCATGAGGTGGCTGCCTTAGGCATAGAAGACAGTATTTGAGTAGAAGAATGAATTATTATTAATATATTTAAAATGTCCAATGCTGACTGAGTCACTTAAGATCACAGCAGGCCTGTGAGTTTCTGTTTGGATTGGTAGTTACTAGTTGCTGGCTTGGGACGTACTCCGTATTTGTCCATCTGCAAGACTGAGCTCCGAGTGGCTGTACCTGTCAGTTACTGTTGGAAAAACTTTTGATTCCTCAGATAAAAGGAACCTTTGAAATGCAAAATGACATTATAATGGGGGTCTGTATTTTAAGGGAGAGGGATAAAGGATTTAAAAGGCACTGTTATCACTCTGTAATCATATTTCCTTTTATCCCTCTGTGATTATGTGTGTTGATGTGCAAGTTCAGGATGCCAGGAAGTTCTTATTGAGTTTATGAACTTTGAGAAGTGTAGGAGGTAACTGCAACACTATAATCTATTTAATAATAAACATAGCATTTTCTTCTCAGATTCCAGTTTTAGGGGTAGCTTATCATTTACCTTAAGGTAACAGTCTTTTATTTATTATAGGATATGAAATAAAGGTATATTTTATACTGAGGTTTCATACAGTTAATCCTAAAGTTTGATAAATATGCTTTTTAAAATAACAGCTTTCTTGAGATATAATTTACATACTGAACAATCTACTGATTTGAAGTGTACAATTTAGTAGTTTTCAGTGTTTTCAGAGAGGTGCAACCACCCCTGCAGTCAGTTCTAGAATTTTCACTACCCCCTGCTGCAATCCCTGCGTACATTGAATGTGCTTCTTAAAAGAAGAAACCACAAAAATCAACAGTGTCATTATGGCATATAGGTAAACTATATTTATGTAATTTTAAAAACCCATTTAGCCAAAAAGTAGAGCAAAAAGGGAGAAATAAGTATATCATATGATACAGATAAAGGGTAAATATAGTAAAAAGTTAGATTAATAAAATTGACTCTTGTATCTCAGAAGACAAAGGATACTTTCAAAAGGAAATACAGTTAGTAAGCAAGTTATGAAAAAACTTGACCCTAATTAGTAATTAAAAGCAAGATAAATGATTAGGTACTCTTTTTAGCATTTTAAGGGCTGAAAACTTGTTTCCATATATGATGTTTTATCGTACTTTTATTTTATACTGAAGCATAATTGATTAACAGTGTGTGTTAGTTTCAGGTGTATGGCAAAGTGATTCAGTTATACATATACATGTTTCACTGAGAACTTTTTAAAAGTAACCAATGCTGGAGGTAGTACAGAAAAAATCTTAAATTTTACTGGCAGCTATATAAAGACTCAAAGGAGTTTATCATTATCTATGAAAAGCCTTAAAAAATGTTTATTCTTTTTTAACTGAATCATTCCACTCCTTCGAATCTATTTCAAGAAAATAATCCTAAACATTGAGAAGATTCACAGAGGTGTTTACTGCAGCATTTTTTTATGATTGCAAGGAACTGGAAACAGCCTTGGCAACAAGTACACTAGAGAGAAGTCCCATCACATCTGTGTGTATCTCCTACAGGGCTGTCCTCACAGGTGGAGAAAGGACAAAGAGGAAAGTAATTGCAATACTGTGAGCACTTCAGGAAGCACGTGTCCTGGGCTAAGCACAAGCGGGGGCCCTGACTGCGCTCCTCTTCCTTAGACTCAGTTCCCGTGTGCCTCTTCCAGTGTGAGCATCTCAGGGGCCGGGCGGGACTTGAGTGTTGAAGATGAGGGTTTTTGTACGTGGCCCCCAAACATCAGCCAACCGTGCTCGTCATCCAGGGCTCAACCCGGGAGATAGCGGTCACTTTCTGACTGCCCCCATCTCTCCTCCCATCTCTCATTTAAGAAATCTGGAAATGATTATTTTCTGTAGTAGTCTATGTATATGAATATTCCAAAATTAACTCTTTTGGAAAGTTCTTTTTATGTACCACATTAGCTATAAACTTTGATGAATTTTTACCATAGACGATTCTCTACTCATATATATGAGAGTTTGGGTCCAGTGCCTATATTGATGCCATTACGTGTGTTCACTTAATGAAATACTCTGTGGCTTTCAGAATGATGGTTATGAAGGTTATGTAGCAGAACAGAAAAGTGTATGCCTCTAGAATTAAATGAAAGACATAAGATACAGAAGTATCATACCTATATAGAAAAATGCATAAAACAAAGAAAGACAGAAAGCAAAATTAGCTTTCAGTTGCCATTTACAGGTTGTTCACTACCTTTGTAGCCCAGGTATCAAAGTATAAAATTGACTGAAGACTTAATGCACATCCTATATGTGTATTTTTAAAACAATTCTCCTATAAATGTTTCCGTGCACATCTGCTGGATGGTAATTTGTCCCTCCTCCTCCCCTGATAACTGTGTCCACAGATTCTCTGACTGCTGATTGAACTTCAGAGTGAAGAAGCTCGGTTGCTGGCCAGTACTTTAGTATTATCACCAGAATCCCAATTTCTGCTTAGACTATCATATGATGCAGGGGGGCAGTTATTAGAATTCTTCTTAGAGAAACTTTTTGAGCTAAGAGAATAGCTGGAGAATTCCCTTTAGAGATAGATTAAATTCGGGCTAAGAGAAGTGGAAGCAACAGACAGTATTACCCCTGTTGGAGTTCTCTTGGATAATTAGATTCTGGTTAACAAGTTTCAGAGATGTGCTAGAGGAAAAGTCTTAGGAAGCCCAAGGAGAGGAATTGTGAGCCCAGTCAGGCACAGTAACAGAGGTCAGCATGGAAAGCTGAGCTAAAAAGCTCACCTGTGCCTGCAGGGGGTGTGGTTTAGAACTGCCATCCAGGGTAAAGAGAAGGAGACGCTTCAGGTAAAGCCAAGTGCTGCTCTGACCTGCTGCTCTCTGACCCATTTTAAGGTTCCGGAGAAGGGATGTGTCCCAAGAATGTGATTTTCAAGATTAGTCCAAGCAGAATGGGGGGAAACCTTGACTGTTCCTATTGAATCATAAAATACAAAGTAGTCATTGATCCTCCGCCGGACGTCTCCCAGGCCCAGGCGCGCACTGACCCTTTGTCTTCTGCAGGTGACCCTGCCCTCAGCATGAGCCGCTGGATGTTTCACCAGCAGGCCCTGCAGGAGTACATCCTGATGTGCTGCCAGTGCCCCACGGGGGGGCTTCTGGATAAGCCTGGCAAGTGAGTGCCTTGTCTCTGGGGAGGGCGGGGTGGGGGCGCTGAGCACGCAGGCCTGCTCAGACCCGGGCGGGGCAGCCCATCTGTGCAGCTGCTTAGGGCCCATGTGGTGTGGGAGCAGCCGGGCCCGGAGCAGCCCTGTCCACCATGCGTCCATCCTGTGCTTCCAGCTCCCTCCTGCGCCCCCTTACCAGTTAGGTGAAGAGACTGCTGCGTGGGTAACGTTTCTTTCCTCTTTTATTTAATCAAACTGACCTAAACAGAACAGGACACAGGGTTTTAAAACTCCCGGGTGTCATGTTGTTGTTCAGTCGCTAAGTCGAGTCCGACTCTTCTCGACCCCATGGACTGCAACACGCCAGGCTTCCCTGTTCTTCACCATCTTCTGGAGTTTGCTCAGATTTATGTCCGTCGAGTCAGTGATGCCATCCAATCATCTCATCCTCTGTTGCCCCCTTCTCCTCCTGCCCCCAGTCTTTCTCAGCATCAGGGTCTTTTCCAGTAAGTTGGCTCTTTGCATCAGGTGGTCAAAGTTTTGGAGCTTCAGCTTCAACATCAGTCCTTCCAATGAATAGTCAGGGTTGATTTCCTTTAGGATTGACTGATCTCCTTGCTGTATGAGGGACTCTCAAGAATGTCATAAACAGAGATTATAATCACCGCTTTCACAGAGTAGATTGAACACCTTTAGGTGCTATACTGAAAGAAAAAGGGAAGCCAATCAAGTCCTGTTCCCTTTGCTGCTCACTCCCCACCCTGACCCCCTCCTGGCCCCCTGCACATATACACACATCCTGCCTCCTTCTGCATGCATCCAGGGGAAGGCTCAGCTGAAGGCTGGCCCCCAGCAATTTACCCATTTGTAAATTTTGACCCATTTGAAGAAAGAATTTGACCCATTTCTAGAAATTTTGGTGTGGGTTTTTTTTAATGGCTTTTTTTTTTTTTTTAATGTACTCTGTGGATTTAGCAACACTACCCTGGAGGGCCCTTCCTTAGAAGGAAGTCAAGAGGACAGACAGTTCCTGCGGTCAGGCAGGGTGGAAGGATGGAGCTCTAAAAAACGCTGCTGGGGGAAGCCAGGCTTCTAGGCGTGTGGAGGGCAGGTTTGGATGCCCGAGTGCTTCCTGGGCTTTATCTATGGTCTTGTCGTTGGAGGCTGTGCCAGGGCGGGTGGGGAGCAGAGGGTACCTGCTGAGAGCTGCTGCATCCTTGCAGGTCCCGGGACTTCTACCACACCTGCTACTGCCTGAGCGGCCTGTCCATAGCCCAGCACTTTGGCAGCGGAGCCATGTTGCACGATGTGGTCCTGGGTGTACCTGAAAATGCCCTGGTAAGGCGGGATGTGGGGGTTAGGGGGGCTTACCACCGCTTCTCCGCAGGGCCCCCAGGATGGGGCTGGCAGGAGGGCAGAGCAGCCCGTTGAAGCCTCCAGAACTGATGGCACGAGTGTCCCCCATGGACGGGCTGGCGAGCTCGCCATCCCCACACTCCCTGTCTGCAGCCCATTCCCCATTGGTGAGCACCTGACCGGCAAACTCGAGGTTCTAAGCACGGATCCAGCCTGCGGCGGAGGGTGTGTCCCGGAGTCTAGGACCCAGACCACTTGTCATTAGTCCCCATTTCCGAGGAAGCCGGCTCAGGGGCAGTGGTTTCTGCGTCTGCAGCAACAGCCCTCCCTGTGTAGCTGATGTCTTCTCCTGGAGCTCTCAATGTGCAGCCCTGCATCCAGAGAAACCCTCTCAGACCACCGTCTATAAATGAGATGCCTGGAAACGCTTGGCCAGAGCATGATTTATGCCCCTCATAGCACCAGCACAATTTGTCATGTGTGTGTTTAACTGGGTTTTGTCTGCTTCCCTCAAAAACTGTCAGCCCCCTGTGGGCGGGCTGTTCACCGAGGCATCCAGCCCCAGGCCAGCCTAGCCACAGGCGATGCTTCTGAACCTAGTCAGGAGCCTGAGACATGACTCCAACTAAGACTGTCCATGGCCATCAGATGATGGGCCCGTGCAGACTGTCATGAAATATTTCAGCAGAAGAAACACTGATGGCCAGTAGGTGGATGAAAAGATGCTCAGCCTCACTAATTGAGAAAATCCAAGTAACAGCCCTTCAGGTTTTTCATGTATTTGCCTGCTATGCAGCCCTCTTCCATTCCTTTCCCTCCCTCCTGCCTCATTGTAACCCCATTCTAAATTAATCACTGATCATGCCTGCAGATGTTTTTGTGCTATCACTCCAGAGGTATGCATCCACAAATAATAGAGTTGTTTTGTATGCTTTTTGTTGCTTTATAACAGTTATCTACTGCATCACTTTTCTCACTGACCATTACCCTGAGGTTTAGCCGTCTTCATGTATGTTGCTTTAATTTATTCATCTCACCTACTGTATGGTATTCCCTTGTCTAGGCGTACCCCAGTTGAGTTTTCTGGTCTCCTGTTGGTCAGCATCGAGATGGTTTCAGCTTGTGCTGTGACACAAGGTGTTACAGTGAACATTCTTATTACAGTTTCTCTGGAAGAGACCCACCTTCATCTTCACTAGATGGCCTTGAACCCTGCTCCTGTGTGCTTGGGTTATTTTTCACTCCCACAACACCAAGATGAGTTGTGCCATAGTTAGATACTTCCTTTCTGCTAACGTGACTAGTGGTTTCTCAGTTTTGTTTTGCATTTCCCTAGTTACTGGTGAGGCTAAGCATCTTTTCAAACATTTTTTTGGCCATTTGTGTTATGTATTCTGTAAATTGCCAGCCACTCTTTTCCTTTGCTCATTTTCTTACTGATTTGTAATTTTGTTTGCTCTTTTCTTATACATTTTGTAGTTCTTTGTGTGTTCTTGATACTAATTCTTTGTCAATGGTGTGTGTATGTGTGTGGTGAATCTCTTCCAGTTTGTGACTTTTCACCTTCTTAGTGTTTTTTGTTGAATAGAAGATTTTAACTCTGAAGTGAATAATTTTATTTCCCTTTTTGGTTTTCAAGGGTTTGGGGGGGGGGGTAGGGTTAATTAAGAAATCTTTTCCTACCTGAGGTCATAAATATATTTTCTTCTAAACAATGTAAATTTTGCTTTTCCCATTGAATTTTTAGAATTCTCTTGGAATTGATTTCCATCTGTAGTGAGCATTGCATATAATTTTATCTTTTTCCTGTTTGGGGTACCAGTTGACCAATACCACTTACTGAAGTTTACAACCTTTCCTACTGATGTGTATCACATGTCTGTTACATACTCAAGTTTCTGTTTATGAGTTGATTCTGTTTCTGGACAGTCTGTTCCATGGGTCTGTTTTATTATCTTCACTGTCTTATCAAATCTTAAATGCATGTAAGCAAGTCTCACTCACCCACCTCATTCTTTTTTTTTGTTTTCACTATTCTTTGCCTTTTGCATTTTAGGATTTCCTGTGCATTTTAGGATGAGCTTATCAAGTTCCACACAAACACACACACACACAAAAGCTAGTGGAATTTTTTTTACACTGAATTGCATTGAATGTAATATTAATGGGAGACAATTGACTTTAATATTAAGGCTTCTCTTAATATTTTTCAGGTTTTTTACATATAATGTTCTTTTATCATTTCCCACAAAGGACTAGCATATCTCATTAGATTTATGTCTAAGAAATTTATAGTTTTTGTGTCTATTGTGACTGGAGTATTCTTTTCCATTCTATTTTGTAATTGGCTGTTATTAATGTGTAGAAATGCTATTGATAATTGTAGTTTAATTTTGCATCCAGCAGTCTTGCTGAATTCTCTTTTTTTGACTGCTCCAAGCAGCTTATGGGGTCTTAGTTCCCTGATCAGGGGTCAAATCCAGCCCACTGTAGTGGAAGCAGGGAGTCCTAACCACTGGACCACCAGGGAATTCCCACTTAATTCTCCTAATGGTTGTTAATAGTTTGTCTATAGAATCTCTTGGATTTTTTTTATTTAGACCATAATGTCACCTTCAAATAAGGACAGTTATGCCATTTCCTTCCTGATTCTTAAGAATTTTATTTATCTTGCCATGTAATGTTGGTTAAACCCTCTATGGAGTGTTGGCCAGAAGTGGTAGTAGAAAGTGTTCAGATTGTAATGGAAAGGCTTCCATAATTCCACCATTCAGGAAGATGCTGACTGTGAGGTTTTGATAAATATTTCATGTCAAGTTAAGGATATTCCCCTCTTTACCTGGTCTGCTGAGCTGTTTTTTGTTTGAATCATAATCTGGTGTTAAATTTAAATCTGGTGAATGCTTTTTCCATATCTAGGTTTTCTCCTTTAATCTATATGTTTTGTTAATACACATGGTGATGTTAACTTTACATTAGAAGGATAAACCCTCTTGGTCATAATAGAGAGAGAGAGAGTGTGTGTGTGTGTGTGTGTGCTGGTTTATTACACTACTGGATTTGCCTTGCTGGTATTTTTGGCTAGTGTTTTTATTTAGGACTTTTTTTTTGCATGTGTGTTCATGAGAAAGATTGATCTAAATTTTTGTTTTATGGTACTGTTCTTTTCCAGTTTGTGTTTCAGGATAATATAGCCTCATAAAATTAAATAGTTATCTTCCTACCCTATTTTTCTTTGGAAAACTTTGTGTAAGTTAGAGATTATAAGCCAACACTTGCTTGAGAAAACAGGTAGACCTAGTAATTAGTGGGGGGGGGGTGGTTGTAGCAGAATAAACAATTGTTATTTAACTCATTCATATAGGTTTTAAAGAATTTCTTTTTGAGCAATTTTGAAAATTCATATTGTTCTATAAAGCTGCTCAGGTTATCAAAATTTTTATATTTTGGCATGAAGCTGGTCATGGTATTTTCTTTGAAGTTTTTAAGTCTGTTGCAATTATGTCCCCTTCTTCATTGTCCCAGAGTGGAAGAATCGTGAATACTGGCCTAGGACTGGACCCTGTCTCAAACCAGAGTCTCTGTGGTGCAGTAGGATAAAATAATTTATATATGGCCTGACACATTTACTTAAATGTTAGGGTTGTGTACCTTTTTCTTGATTATAAATATAAATGCATGTTCATTGTTTTAATAATTAGAATATATATAAAAGTATAAATTAGAAATTTTTAAATAGTCATGTCACTGCTATTTTGGAATATTCCATTTTTGCCTATTCATATACATCACATTTACAAACACTTTAAAAAGTAAGTTTGGGATATCACACATACTGTTATCCTCATTTAATGTTAAGTATTTGCCAATGTCATCAAATATTTGGAAGTATATTTTTTTAATGGCTCTTAATATTCCTTTGTGTCTTATGTGCTAGAACATGTTTTTACCAGTACCCTGTTGTTGAACCTTAGGGCCTTGTAAGATAAATCTCCATGTGCAGCTTTGATTTCTTGTTAAATTCTTACAAGTGCATTTAATGGGGAAAGGCCGTGAACATGTCCAAGGACCATGGGGTGATTGATTGGCATCTGTTCTTCTCTTTGCAGCAGCCCACTCACCCTGTGTACAATATTGGACCAGACAAGGTGATCCAGGCTACCATGTACTTTCTGCATAAGCCGGTTCCAGGCTTTGAGGAGCATGAGGATGAAGCATCAGCAGAGCCTGCCACTGACTAGGGGACATGGGGTCTCGCAGCTCTATGTTGACCCATCTCCCCAGTCAGACCAAGGTTTATACATGTCGATACATACTGCATTCTGTGCTGCATAAGCCTTGGCCGCTGTGAAGCTTGGTTCTTTGTCCTTTTTTGTTAAACAGAACAAAACTGATGGCTCTTGGTTTAGAGAACACAGTGGTGTGGTTTTTTTAAAAAGTTCTTTCCACTCCCATCCTACCAGAAGCCTACCAGCTGTGTAGCATCTGGACCCAGCTCTGGCCCGGCAGGGTTGGTTGGGGAGCAGTGCATGCTGGGACAGCAGCCCTGCCCTGCCAGCTGGCCAGCGCAACCGTCCATTGAAATGAATGACGTCAGAGTGTTACAGCATTCAGAGCTTTTGCTGCGATTCTCATGTGTGCCACCACTGCGTCACCAGGAAGATGGCCTCCTGTGGGTGGAAAGAAGTCTGCTCCATGCCTAGGCAGGGGCTTTGAGTCTCACCAAAATGAATTCTCCAGGAAAAAAACATGGTGGGGCTTCACTCAGAGGTGCCCGAGGTCCTTGCCTCCCAGCCTGGTTACTTGTGAGTGGAAGGAGCTAGGGTTGGGGGAGAAGGGCTCGGGAGATGTGAGTCCCTCCCTCTCCAGACTGAGCACTGACCACACATCTTCAAGGCCAGCTTGCTGCGTGGACAGGATTTGCTTCGGCCCCAGTTGTGGTAGCTTAGACCTGGGAACCAATTATGAGTGGAAAATGAATCCCTCGTTCAACTCTGAGCCAGAGGAAGCAGCCCCAGAGCCACCCCATCACGTGCCCCGAACAGCCCCTCTGAAGACTGCAAGGCAGCGCCTGCAGCCCTTGGCCAGGCTCTGGTTCCGTCTTTCTTGCTCCGACTCTCCGCTCACCCTTCTGAAAGACAGTGTTGTCTTCTCTCACCCCGAGTATTAACACTACTAAGTCTTTCACCTTCATTTCTGACTCAGGATTTATTCACATCCTGCCTACTCCAGGCTCAGAGAAAGAAAACCTAGTGCCAGATAAGCTGGACGCTACCAGGGCAGGGCTGAGCGCTGCCCAGAGTGTTCGGCCTGGCAGGGTCCCTGCTGCCCACACAGAACAACCCTTTCTCGGTTAGTAGGGGTGGCGTTGGCTCACCTGTCCACTCCGATGGTCATAGCAAGCTCCATGTGGCTGGTCTGGCCTTCCTGTAATCAGCCGTGGGCTGTGGGCAGATGGGGACCCAGAGATGCAGCGTTAAGGCTCATCTCAAAAACTCTGGCCATCTGCTGCCTCTAATTCCCTAGTGCTTTGGCGTATTGAGCTATGTATTACCTCCTTGAAATAATAAAAAAATAACCTTTTCTATGATGTCTCTCATTCGTGACTGGTACCAAGAAAATTCCTTCTGAGTGTCCAGCGTTAGTTCTGCAGGTTGCTTGTGGGTCACCTGTCTCCTCCTCTTCCAGACTGGGCGAGTCAGTATTTACAAAGAGCTGTGACTTGGCTTCCTCCTGCCCACACCTTCTCCAGTCCAGGACAGGGAGGACCTAACAAGGCGGGGGGGGGAGTTGTGCGCCCCAAGCTCCCTGGAACCCTTCAGTTTGTCCAGCTTTCCACACACAGGTTTCACAGTCTGTGTGTCTGTCTCCTTCACCTGGCTATGAGCAGGGACCTTGTTCCCGAGTCCTCATGCAGGAACTTGGCCGTGGGTGACATCCTGGTGAGAGGCAGGGCAGCTATTGCAGGGGCAGGTTGGAATCATGTGCTAACCTGGTGTTCCTCACCTGGTCAGAGACCCTCTCCCAAGGAGAAGCCAAAAAGGCGGGTGCTTTGTGGCCTGTCCCTCCTTGATGGGAAAGAAGAAGGTGCCTACAGAGGTAGAGCTTCAACCAGGTCCACATCCTGGCATGTAATTCTTGTCCCTGTGCTGTTTTTGCCAGGCTAACAAATGTTCAGGCTACAAAGCAACATGTTGAAATGCACTCTCCCATCACTACAATGAAAGGCCAACCCTCTAACACCAGTAGCCTCAAGGTATTAAGAGATTAATTGCAGTAGTAATTGGTGTGGTTAAGAGATTGCTTCAGTCTGTACTGGCTTTATACCGAGGGAGGATTTGAGCCAGGCCCCAAAGGGTAGGGAAATTTGGCAAGGTAGAAAAAAAGAGGATCGTTCACTGGTATTCTTACCTTAGGAGAGTCTATACTGGTGTGTCCATGAGACCTCTCTGCTCCTGTTTGGGTCTGGAGGACTTCCTGAATTAAAGAGCATTCCAAGTGGGTCCTCAGATTTATCATGGATCCTTAAGTTAGAGGCACTTCCACAGCATTCAAGGTAGGTTGCCCCAAATATTTCCTCTATCAATAAAGAAACTGACTACAGATCTCTCATCTCCAGATGGGCCCCGGCATCCCCCTGGGACCTATCCCAGACCCATCTTGAATGCTATGTAAGTTGGGAAGCCTGCCAGACTCTACTATGAGCAAAAAGGGGTCCTCGTGGATAAGCCAGTGCAAACTTGACTGAGATGACAATACAAGTCAACAATGTTCTTAAACTGCCCTCTGGTATAATTTCTGAGAAGTTGCAAGTTAGATTATGGCCACTGTGCTGTAACGATGCAGGAGTGTCCTCCATGAAGCCCCGTCTCTGGAAAACCTCACACAAAAGCAGAGGCCATACTATTAAATAACATTTCTGTGATGGCCTTCCACGGAGGTCTAGCCTTGGACCTTGATATGTTGACTCCTGGTGATTTAACTTAGCAGAGAAGTGGAGTTTATAAACTCCTGGCTGGCGGTTTATATAGCCCTGGCTGTTTTCATCAGTATTAACTATGCTGCACTTCTGGCAGGAGCTTGATAGCCGGGAATTAAAAATGGAGCTTCTTCAGTGCCCTAAGTGTGCTTATTATTGGTAGACATGGAATCCGTTGGCTTCAAAAGTCAGATGTATAGATAACAGTGCTGACATCTTAACAAAGACTCAGGACATATCATTCTGGGATAAATATGGGAAACTCTGCTTTCCTAACGCTGATGGGAGGGCTTGAATCACATGTTTTTTCCATTCTATTCTGGAGAGCTTTCCCCTTTGCTTTTATTATTGAAATATAATTGCTTTACAATGTTAAGTCTCTGCTGTACAACAGGAATCAGCTGCATGTACACACTTATCCCCTCTCTCCTGAGCCTCCCTCCCACTGCCCCCCGTCTCGCCCTTCTAAGCCATCACAGAGCCCTGAGCTGAGCTCCCTGGCTGTCTAGTTTACACACAGTAGGGTAGTGTATATACGTCAATGCTACTTACTGTTTCAATTCGTAGCACACTCTCCTTCTCCCACTGTGTCCACAAGTCCATTCTCTACTCTTGCATCTCTATTCCTGAATAGGGCTTGATATGAATGGTGATGGCATCTAACCATCTCATTCATCCTCTGTCGTCTCCTCCTCCTGCCTTCAATCTTTCCCAATATCAGGGTCTTTTCAAATGAGTCAGCTCTTCGCATCAGGTGGCCAAATGCTATTGATAAATATTTTAGGCTTTGCAAGCAACTACTCAACTCTGCTCTACCACTGTAGTACAAGACAGCTGCAAAGTATGGTTATGTGCCAATAAAACTTTATGAAAATGTAGTGAGTCAGATTTGGCTCATGGGCTGTATTTGCCTACCCCTAAATCTAGACTAAATCCCATCCATTCAACATTCTTCCACATCTCTCATGGCTGGGATGCTTTCCATGTACATGATATTAGTGTTAAATGACAAAAGGTACTTGTTAACGTTCAGCCCAAACATTTTAACCACCCATGTGCATTGCTTAGGTCATTCATTGCCCTTGAAGAGGAAGGAGAATTGTATGATGTAAAGAACTGTTGCAACTGACAGAAAACCGGACCCAAACTGGCTTAAAGCAAAGAGGAAATGTGTTGACTCATAAACTGAAACGTTCAGGAATTAGCGTGGCTTTGTGAGTGGCTTCAGTGGGTTTCTCTCCATCTTTCTGTATCGGCTCTGGCCTCAGGCTCTCTCCACGTGATTCTAAAATGGCAGCAGCAATAGCTCCAGACCTTACATACCCTTAGGGTCAAGTTCAGCAGACAAGAGCAGCAGGCACTTCCTTCCCAGTGAGTATCATTGCATTTCACTAGCTTTGATCAAGACAAGTGCTTTTCTGAGATGCACTCCCATGGCCAGGAGACTACAGTACCCTGACTGATCACATGCTCCTCCCGTGAGTGGGAAATGGGGCTCCATCAGAGGCACAAAGACAAAGAATGGGGACAGAAGGAAGCCTCGGTACAAATTAGCAGTGTGTGTGAAAGTTGCTCAGTTGCATCTGACTTTTTGTGACCCCATGGACTATAACCTGCTAGGCTCCTCTGTCCATGCCATTCTCCAGGCCAGAATACTGGAGTGGGGAGCCATTCTCTTCTCCAGGGGATCTTCCTGACCCAGGGATCAAACCCAGGTCTTCTGCATTGCAGGTGGATTGTTTGCCGTCTGAGCCACGAGGGAAGCCCAGGAATACTGGAGTGGGTAGCTTATCCTTTCTCCAGTGGGTCTTCCTGACCCAGGAATTGAACCAGGGTCTCCTGCATTGCAGGCGGATTCTTAAAAGGGGGAGATGGATGCTAGCGAAGCAAATCACTATGTTCTCCATGATGGTGGATTCTAGAAGCCTGTCATGGACATTGTGGCATCCATTCCTTCCCTCCCCAGCTGTGGCAGTCAAAAGGCTTGTGTGAGTGTCCCCCCCACCCCCATCCAGGCCAGGTCCTGACTGGCCCAAGCCAATCATTTTAATTTATCCTTCTGCTTCAGCAACTTGTTCAGGTTTAATAATAACCCAGGCCTAAGCCAATCAGCATAGTTTGTCCTAGCCTCAGTGACTGATTTAGAGTCAAGGATGTGGCCTAAAATAGACCAAAGAGAGGGAAGCCTTAGACATCTGATGACTGGGGAAAGCAGCTCTCTCCTGTTAGGGGTGGTGGAATGTGTGGCCTGGGACTCCAACAACCATTTTCCTACCTAGAAGGAAGCCTGTCTTAGAGGCCAGTCCACACAGACTCCCTGAGACTTACTGAGAAGCACGGCCACAGCTCTGTTACACTGCTCCTGCAGCCTGGATCTACCTCTGGATTTTTCAGTTAGGTAAGCCAATTTGAGTTGGATTGATTATTTACTATTGCTTGCAACCAAAAGCATCCTGACACACACAAAACTCTATCCCAGATTAGCCCCCGTGTCATGAAGCCCTCACTTGCTGCCTGAAGAATGCTGATTGTCAGGGCTTCCCTGGCTAAGATTCTGTGCTCCCAATGCATGGGGCCCAGGTTCAATTCCTGGTCAGGAAACTAGATCCCACATGCTGCAACTAAGACCCAGGGCAGCCAACAAAAAAAAAAAGAACGCTGATTGTCCTTGCCACCTCCATCCAAACAAGAACCCAAGGGAGACAGCCTCCTGGTCACTGCCTCTTGTCATTTGATGCTTGATTCAGTATCATGAGGTGGGTGGGGCAGGTGTGTTATCTGTATTTTACAGCTGGAGAAACAGGTCAGAGAGCTGGAGTGACTCACCCAGGGCTTACCAACCATCAACTAGTGGAGTCTGGACTTGAACCCAGGTCTGCTGCCTCCAAAGGCCACATGCTCCCACCACTCCCAGTCTCTGAAATGGGTGGTCTTGGGGTGGGGAGCAGACTAAACGTGCGTGAGTTTCCTTCAGGGTGGATGACCGAGGCCTTGAATGCCTGCTCTCGTCTTTCACCAGGATGAGGATGGTGATAATGAAGAGCGGGGGCAGGCTCACCTTACCCTTCTGACCAGCCCCCCTGCCACTCCCCAACTGTCAGTCCCTGGCATAAAGCAGTGCTCTCTGCACCACGTGCGGGCCACCCGGTGCAGTGTGACGCTGCGTGACTCAGAGGCAAGGCCATGGTGAGTCAGTCTTCCTGGGAGCTGACCCCAGCCAGCCTTCTCCACTCCAGCCTGGCACACCTAACTGGTTCCTGGACATCCTCTTTCACTTCCTAGCGGTAACCTTGGCTCTGCGTTTTACCAGCTGATGCAGGAGGTTCAGAGCACGGGGCCCAGCGGCTACTGTTCCTCGTTCCTACTTTTTGGGCACGTCCAATAGCAAAACCAGGCAGGCGGGCGGAGGGCTTATCACCAGCTCAGGTTAATGGGACGCTTTCTCTGCCCTCTGCAGACACACAGCTGTGAGAAAGAACAACAATACATTTTAAATAATAAACTTTCACGGAGTTCCCTTCTGCTCCTTAGCCAGTTTCCCCTCTTGTTAGCATCTCACATTAATATAGTACATTCATCATAACTAAGGGCAAATACTGATCTATTAACTAAAGCCCATACTTTATTTCCCCTGGAGAAGGAAATGGCAACCCACTCCAGTTTCTTGCCTGGAAAATCGCATGGACAGAGGAGTCTGGCAGGCTACAGTTCCCCTTTGCAAAGGGTTGGACATGACTGAGCACATACTTTATTTGGAATTCCTTCATTTTCACCTATGCCCTTTCTCTGCCCCAGGATCCCATTCGAGATACCTCATTACCTCATGACATTTAGCTTGCTCTTGGCTGTGATATTTTCAGACCTACCTTGCTTCGGGTGACCCTGACAGTTTTGAAGAGGACCCATCAAGTATTTTGTAGATTGCCCACCCACTGGGATTTGTGTCAGTTTTTTCTCATGATTAGACTGGGCTTTGGGGAGAAAGACCACAAAGGTCAAGTATCTTTTCATCCCATTCTATCAATGGTACATGCTATCAACATGACTTCTCTCTGATGTTGTTAACCTTGGCCACCTGGCTGAGCTTTGTGAAGTGTCCCCCCATAAGGCTCCTCTTTCTCCCTCTTTCTACACTGTTCCCTTTAGAAGGAAGCCCATGTACACAGCCCAACTGAGGGGTGGGGAGTTATACCCCACATCCTTGAGGGTGGAGTAGCTATATAAATTATTGGCAATTCTTTTGCTTGGGAAGTTTATCTATGTTCTATTTATTTATTCATTCAATCATTTATATCATGAATAACTGTTTTATACTTTGGGTTATATATCAATGTTTTAATACTGTGTTGTTTATTTCACTGCTCAAACTGTTCCAGATTTGGCCATTAGGAGCTCTTTCAATTGGCTCCTGTGTCCCTCTTTCGTACCCGTTCTTTTAATAATAGTGCATTTTTCTATTCTTTTTCTTTCAAGAGGTATTGCATGTTGGTAATTGTCGACACTGGAAAATGGGCACCTTAGGGTTGAGTAGACTCCTTTCTTAATCTTTGGTCACAACTAAATTCTTTTCAAAATAAAAGGTACTGCGTGCTGGTTACCTTGGATGGGGGACTCCATGTTGCCATCCGCCGCCCGTGCAGGGTAGAGGCTCTGGCCCACCTTCCTTCCTCCCATAGCCTCCACCCTGCCCCTCTGCCGGCTGCACCAGGGGCCTAAGGCTGGCACTGTGGTGGGGAAAGGCAGGAAAGAGAACACAGCAAGAGCTTGAGAAGTGATAACCTGGCCCTGTTCCCTGCCCCTCCCACATGCCAACCCTCTCTGGACTGAGGGCCCCAGCCTCTGAACTCCGTTGGCATCTGTAGGCTGGACAAGCACACTTGTGCCATGTGCATAAATCTGTTCTGCACCTACTCTAAGCTTCTTGGAGGCAGGGACCAGGCTTCATCAGCTGCCCCAAACCTCCCCAGTGATTGACACAGTGCTGGGCTGAGAATATAGGCTGCTCAAATAGCCATGGACTGAACTCATGCGGAGGCAACCCCAGGACTGACCCAACAGTGCTCAGAGATGGACTTACACCAGAGAGCCGGAGTCCACTGGCCCACACACTCCTGTGTATGCGTGGGGTACTCATAACAGGCCAGGCATTGTGCTTGGGGTGCGGCAGCAAACATGAGGACCAGACCTGGGCTCGTGGGAGCTACCAGGTAGAAAGAAGGCCTGCTGAAAGGCTCACGGCAGCTCTCTGAGAAGGACAGGGCCCTGGACTCACTTCCTGGTTGGGAAACAGTCAAGTCATTTGAACCAGAGTTCCTGTACCCGAAGTCTCCACTGCGGTAGCTATCTGCTGTGGACGTGACATTCCTCCTCTCAGCTGGCTGGCCTTGCTGTGGCCTTTTGGCCCAAAGCCTTTGGCCACTGTCCTTTAGCCCCAGATCTGTCCCTGCCACCTCCCAGCCATTGATGCCTCCAGGAGATACGAAACAATGAGGTTCTCAAGCCTGTGTGTGGGACCACAGTGCCAGCTGGACTCCTCTCTGCTGATGAGCGCCCGGGGGCGTGGGCGGCAGCTTCGCACGCCTGTTTGGTTATTTTCTGAACCAGACTCTGCATGGCTCATGGAGGCCTTGCAGGAACCGGCTTGTGAAGGGCTTACCTTTCCCTCTGGGCCTGCAGTGGAACTGTCAGCTTTGTTTTTCTTGGCAGGAGACTCAAACCCTCACCATGTTAAGCGCTGCAGTGGAAGGTTCTGGCACGGGTTTCTTAACATTGGATCCTTGATTCTTCGTTTCCTTTTCTTCCCCCTCTGGCCTTTAATTTACTGGAAAAAATTAATGGCAGATATTGTGCTGGATAATTTGGCCCAGAGGAGGCTGTAGGTGTACAAGGGCCCCACCCGTGCAATGGACATCAGAGGAAAACAACCCTAGATGGGGCCTGGCAGTCAGACCTGGGCCTGCTGGTGCAGCTGGCATCCTGCACGGGCACGGGAGGGAACTGGCTCGGCTGGTTGTGAATTGTCCAGGCCCACCTGTTTGGCTCTTTTCTAGACACACCCGTCCTGCTGGGGGTGTGTGTGTGCACGCGCACGCAGGGCACACACGTCAGCCAGGGAGAGCCAGAGCACGTGGGCCCTGGATCCAGTCATCAGACCGCATGGAGCCAGGTGAGTCTGTCCCCACCTCACCCCTGCTCAAGGGGCCCTGTAAATACCAAGGTTCCACCCTTATCGTAACCAGGCCCCAGCAGGAAACATAGGGCAGGCACAGGATGGTTCTCAGTGTCTCTGTGGCCAGCTCAATGCAGGTCATCAGGAAGGCACTGAAGAAATATGAACTGAAACCGGGATGGAGAACAGGGTGAAGAAACCAGAAAGGTCATGGCTAATGGTTCTGACCCAGCCAGCAAGGGTGTATTTCATTTCCCAAGTTGAGATATTTTCAAATGATAGCAGACCATGTTTTGCTAGAGTCCCTTCAGAAATCAAACCAAACCTATTTGTTACCATGCCCTTTGGTATTCAACATGTATTTACTGCCCCTTCCTTGTGAGAATTTTAACATACTGAAGGAGAGAGCCGATTGACTGCAAACTTCAAAACTCAAACGGCTGCACGGCCAGGACCTGTGCTGGCAGACAGACCTAAAAACTGCACGTGCATGTCCTCCCCAAGTGCCAGACGTTCCAACTCACGCCTTCACACCTCACTCAGAGTGGCACTCTGTGCTACTGCTGTCCTCATGTCACGCCTCAGGAAACCACGGCAGAGTCACCCAGAGCCAGTCAGTCCAGACAGGTGGGCTCAGAGCCTGTGACCTAAACCACCCAGGCACTGGTTCTGAAGCTCTCAGGCTCCTTGTCCCTAGCTTGACCTAACGGAATGATGATGACACTTACCCACTGGGTGATGACGTCTGTTGGGAAGGCCTCCAGAGAAGGCAAGCAGGGGCCTGCCCAGCGCAGTCAGTCCTGTGTCCACCTCAGCCTGCTTCTCCAAGCTGGTCTGGGAATGAGTTGGCCAATTCGATTCTCTACCTGAGAAACAAACTAGAAAATATTTTTGTTTATCCCCTTCTCAGGGAAAGTGTAGGGATGTATTAATTAAGCCCATGCCTTTAGTAAACCCCAGACTATCGAACCTCAAAATTGAAGGACACTGTCTTGCCCATTCATGATCCAGCAGAGAGTCAGAGGGTCCTAGTTCCTAACATGATTTTTCCACTGTGCATCCAATGTAGAGGCTGGCAAACTCCTCTTGCCTACCTGGGTTTCCTCCTCAGGCTAGAAAAACTATTTTTGAGCAAAGAAAAGCTCTAGTTTCACGCTGTGCAGAACGGAGCCTGGCAAATGGGCCTGAGAGTCAGCTGGCTTATAAACCAGCTTGGTGACACAGGACAGTCAGTGTGTGGCATAAAAATGGGTGCTGCCCCATGATATCACCCTTGTTTGGGGCTTCAACAAGTGGCGAGGCAGCCCTCATGAGTGTTTGAGCTCCACTGGGAGAAGGGAAACACCGTCAAGGTAGTTCTATCCATCGGACTTATAACAAGCGTCTCTCCGCCCCCTTTCCCCAAGCCTTCAGAGCCTGGTCTCAGACCCACCTGTCTAATTCCACTCAGCTGACACTTGTCTAACAGTTTCCTTTTGTTCCCTGGGTTATTTTGCTTTGGGGAGTCAAATCTGAGTGCACGAGAACCATCTTGTTAAACAGCCCGACTCGGTGGTGGAACATGGTGGGCTGCTGATCAGGGGAGCAGGAGCCTAAGAACCCTCTTAACAAGCACCCCTGGGTCATGGCCCAAGGGTCCACTTTAAGTAACACCACCATGGGGGCAATCCTGCCAGCCAGAGGACCGAGTGTCCCAAGTTTAGAGACACCACTGAGTTCCAGAGGGAGGGGATGACACCTCACTTGGGGTGACAACAGAATTAAGGTACGTTCTCTGGTTTTGAACACTGGACTGTGTCCCCAGTTCTGGGGTCATGTGCCCCCTCTTTATTCACCCTGGCTTGTACGGCGAGGACACAGCTCAGGGGCGGGAAGCAGTTGTGAGACATGAAGTCCACCCTCATGCAGTCCAGGGAAGAGCTGGGTTTTTTGCTTCTTGCAGATTCAGCCCTGTCACATGTTCTGTGTAGATAAGGGCTGCTGGCACCTGAGTCTCCCTTGGTCCTGAGATCAAGTGCATTATAAATTATTTCCTCTGGTTCTCACAAGCACATTGTGAGGTTAAAGCTATTATTATCCCCATTTTATATATGAGGACACTGAGGCTGAGAAGTAACTTGCCCAAAATTACCAGCGACGAACAAGAGCCAGGATTTTGAACTCAGGCAACCAGACTTCAGAGCCCAAGAGTTAATACATTACAACTCTAATATTAGAGATGGAATTCAGCTGTCTTCAGTCCTAGATCAGGGCTATCATCTGCTCTAGTTTTTAAGTCTTTCTGAGTTGACAGCTTTGTGAACTTTAGGCAATTCTTTGCTGAAGTGGTAGCTACTCTACAGATGGGATTAGCATATTAAGAATTTTAAAAACTGGGCCATTAATACCCTTGCCCTTGGGGCAAATTGTAAGGGAGGAAAATACCAAGCTCTCCCCATGGCAAGAGAAAGAGGTGGCTTCTCACAGGACCAGGTTCTCGGCAGTTTCTCTGGCTTTGTGCTGGGCTGTCCAGAGTGCAGTGCCTCCAGAACCAACCACAGAGTAACCTGGAAGTGAACCGTGGTCACTTCGGTGACCTGGGGGACATACACTGGCTTCCTAGATATGCACACCGGAAGGAACTTAGCCATGGATTTCACCAGTTTCCCTTCAGTGAGCACAGCCTCCAGCCCAGGGGCTCTTACCTGGCTCTCCTTTTCAGGCAGCTGCTCCCAGCAGCACCTCGTCCTCTCCACTGCGTGTCAGCACATCAGCCAGGTTTGGATTTTCCCAGGTGAACCTGCTATCCTGTTCCAGCTGTTTTCTTCAAACTGGTTTACAGGAATTTTGAGAAGCCTAAAACTCAACTCCTTTTCCAGCCAATATCCTGGAGCCGGGGACTGGATCTCAGGAACGTCACTTCTTCCAGGATGGCGAGATGGTTTGCTTCACCAATATGGCTGCACCTGCAGCTTGGTTCTAATGCCCACCCTGACCAAGCACATTCTGTGTAATATGGAATCTATAATTAAAAGTCTGGATATACAAAGGGATGTAGTAAAGGGCAATAAAAGGGAAGGGAAGAAAGCACATTCACTTTGAGGGCTGAAGAAACCACCAGACTGCTCATTCCCTATTTTTTCTCCCTTATTCATGTCTCTCTCTGTCTTGAAAAGGAACACCATTAATAAACAGGATTCTGCTCTCTCCCCGCATCCTTGTTTTCCTTATTGAGATCATGGTTTTGGGAGTTGGCTTATCACGTTACAAAACACCTTTTAAAATATGAATAAGAATATATGTAACTGAGTCACTTTGCTGTACACAACATTGTAAAAATGCCTCTTAAAGAAACACAATCCACCACCTGTCAACTCCCATTAACTAACAGGAGATGCTACAGATTTGACATCCAATGGACAGGAGCCCCGGCTCCACCGATCCAAGGAGTGACAAATCAAAGAATTGATTTGACTCCTCTCCCTCCCTTGGTCTAGGAACAGCAGTATTTCCTGTCAACCAGACAGGAAAACCAAAGCTGAGCTGTATTCTGGCCATAAATCCTTTCTTTCAAAGTCAAACAAGTTCAAGCCAGGATTGGTCCCTAGTTCAAGGAGAGCTAACTGGATGCTGTTGAAGCCTCTTTGACTTCCAGCCCGTGGCAACCCTGCTGCCTGTTACTATGTTGGAACTCTCTAGAAACTGGAAAAGTCCTAGAGAATACCAGTCACCCCTGGACTGGACATGATGTTCATTACCAGAAGAAACCCAAACCCACAGCTCTGGGCTACCAGTTCCCCAAGGGTCATCTATTTAGCTAGAGCTGGATCCAGAAATGTTGCCCTGCAAAACCCCATCCCTGCTGGAACTTCGAAAGCTTCCATCCAGTGAGCAAAGTCACCCACTGGTTTACCCACCTCATGCCCTGCCTGGGCCAGGCTGAGCCCTTAACACAGAGGGAAGCATCGGCGGTGGTGGCTACCAGCCTGCGGGCTCCTCTCAGGCCGCCGCACGGGCCTCACCATCTTGGCCTTTGCCAGGGCAAGAAGACACCACCACCAAGAAGGATAAAATAAGTTTTTATTTATAGTCTTATAGTAAAGGGGAAAGCCTTAACTTGCAAGACAATTCTTCAGCAGTATGTACAACATACTTTTTATTTCCATGGAATGGAATCAAACACGGACTGAGACTACAGAGTATACACTAGAAATCAGCAAATGCCGGGAACAGAGTAGGAAAAAGACAAAGAAATGAGGCCTAAACACACAAAACCCTTCACTGGGATCTGCTGACCGCAGCCAGAACCAGGGCTGGATCACATAATGAGGACAGGTTCCAGGACAGTCGGAAGGGGAGGGCGGGCGAGGGTGGGGAGGGGTCCGCACTGGGGTGCGGGTTTAGTACGAGGTGAACCGCTCTTGGTATTTACATACAAAATCAGTTGGCTCTATTTCTTAGAAATACACACGGAAAGAAAGGACGATTTGATCATTACTTTATGAATCTGTCGCTTTGCAATACCGACATCATCAGAAATAGGGACAATTCACTCAGGTTCAAATTTCAGCAGCAGGAAATAAATATCAAAACATCATCACTGGCCCTCAATACAAAACCTCTACCCCACCCGATCCTCCCTCTTTGGCCCACCCACCCGCTACCACCCCCTGGCGGCTACCGCTCCACTGCTGCCGTCCCCTCACGCCACACAAGCATCACACGGCCTCCCTAAGGCTAGCTGAGAGAAGCAGGAGTGAAACAGGCCAAGACTCCGCGCTGCAAATCTGTCCCCATTTCCTTTTATACCACAAACTTCTTCAAGGATCTGGTCTTTCAATAGGAGCGATAAATAGCCTTTTAGCGGGGGAAAAAAAAAATCCTTAAAAAGAAGGGGGAATAATTCTGATTACTCCAAACTGGTCATCTTCTGAAAGTAGAGCAGTCCACAGATTCACAAAGTCTATCAAACAGAGGTGAGGATGGCCTGGAAGGAGAGGCCTGGGTGGGGCAGGAGTCCCCCGGGCACGTGCCCGGCAGGGCTGGAGGAGCTGGTGGGTGGTCAGGACACCATGTGCTCAGAGGTCTGGCCGGCCGTCTGTCCTCCACAGAAAAAGCTGCCAAGTTGGGGTGTTTTGGTTTAAAAATTCCTGGTGGGGACAGGGAATCCCTGAAGGGAAACGTTTAAAAAAAAAAAAAACAAAAAAAAACGTGGAAATGGGGAAGGAGAATGAGAGCTGTTGTCCAAGAGCTTCTACATAAAAATAAAATTTAAAAAAAAAGGAGAAAGAGGGAAAAAAAAATAAAGAGTCTCTTAAATGGTTCTGAGGGTTCTAAAGATGAACTGAAAGGAGGATAAGACGACGGAGGAGACAGACAGTTTTTATTGCTGGCCTGCCCCGCGGAGCTTAGCTGGCCTCCATCCGGAGCTTCTTCCTGCTTTGGGGCTCTTCGGGCTCCGACTCCGAGCTGGAGTCCGAGCCCCCATCGAAGGCAGAGATGGTGCTGCCCTTGGCGTTGGTGTAGAGGCTGCTGTCTGAGGAGGGGTAGTTGGTCTGCAGTTGGGCACTCGACCTCGCCTTCTCCAGTGCACGGACTGAAAGGCAACCAAGCGAGCGGGTTACAGCCTTCTGGAGACTGGGGGAGGAACCGAGTCTCGGGTTGGGGTCCAGCCTGTTCTTCCGAAGGGCATGCTGGCCCCCAAGGCTCAGGGTGGCTCATAAGTAACTCCCTTCTGGTGGCTGGTCCACCAGAACACTTCATTTCCCTTCGCCTTTCCCAGCCAGACACGAGCGCTCAGTGGATACAGCCAGCCACTCTGCAATGCCACCCAACCCTAAAGAGAAGGCGTGTGCTGTCACCGTCCTGCCGTGGAAGCCCAGCACAGAGAGAGGACCACGAGCTCCCTGTGGGACCCAGCAGTGCAGTAACAGCGCAGCTGGCCCGGCAATGCCTGGCTCCACAAGGGTGTGAGGGTCACACGTTAGCAGGGAAGGATGACAGAAGACATACCAGCCAAAGAGAAGTTTTGGCTTAGCTTTCATGTACAAGATCCACTTGGAAAGACAAGCTGGACACTTGGAAGCAAGTCACCAATACACAGAGTACCTGGGCTTCCTAACACGGAGCCCCTACATGCAGGCTGCTCGGCCCGGTAACCAACCCGCTGCCGCCTCCCACTGCCCATCCCTCGGTTCAGCTCGTCTTGAGCCTGGAAGGTCAACCCATTTATTTTGGTTTAGTTTATTTTATTTGAGATGTTCTAACCCAGACGGTTACTTGCATTTCCTTTTACTTGCATCTTCCATGAGGGAGGAAGAGAAGTGAATTCCCCAGGAACAAAGAACTTGATCAGCTCTCGCTTTCCCCTGTGGTTGTAGGAAAAGGCGGGTGTGAGCATTGGAGAAGAGCACGGGCCTGGCCCACGGGCTGCCCTGAGTGGACTACCGTTGACACGGGGAGCGCTCACTGTCCCTTAACACCTGGAGTCTCTGGCACTTTCATAGCACACTCCAATCCAAGGACCTCACAGCTCTCTGGAGGCACCCGAGGCCAGCTGTGATCCCTACTACCAGCGAAACACCTGAGCCCCAAGAAGAGGAGAGTGAGTAGGTCAGAAAAGTCTCCAGACGGCTAAGCCTTGGACTCCACCGCTCCCTCACCGAAGCTCAGGCCCTTCCTCAGGACGGCTACACTCGCCTACAGGCCCAAGCAGCAGGGCGGCAGCTGCTCGGGAGCATGGCTCCGTCACTGGTTCTGACTCCGCAGGCCCCGGCGCGAGGCCCTGACCTGGCTGGCGCACAGCAGGGCCAGCTGCCCCACGAGCTCCGCTGCTCACCTTGCTGCTCCAGGAGAGCATTCTGCCGCTTGAGGTCATCAATATCTTGCTGGTGTGTGTGGTTTTTCCTTCGCATATACTGGATATACTCTGTGGCTTTGTCTAGGATTTGGGCCCGGGATGCCTGTTGCAATATGAGAAAAAGCAGAGGGGACAAAATAAAGACCTAGTCCATGCAGCGAGGAAACCATTCCTTTCAGCGAAGGCCACACGAGGGGACAGAAGCAGGAGGGGGAAGGGCACGAAGTGCTAAGTGCTGTCGAGAATCTTCTTTATGCTGGTCAAGGCACCAGCTGCTTTCCACAGCTTACCTCACTGGCACTCTGACAGAGGTGGTTCCTCTAGGAACCCAAGACTCAGAGAAGTTTACCGGTTTATTCAAAATCACCAGCTAAAGGGTGTAGAGCCTGGATTCAAACTCAGGTCTGTCTCAATCCTGAACTTGTTTCCCACACAACCCCTTTGGTTCTTTAGATTGCTTTCAGGTCTTCGGCCAGGCTATTCTGAAAACATTAGAAGACTACTTAACTGACAGCTAAGGTCACTCACTCACTGCTGGGCCTGGCTGCAGGCAGCTGGTCCAGAAAGACAAGATCAAGATCTCAGCTGGAGCTGGCTCAGGATGGGGATGGGTACAAAGGTTTTCCTCAAGGTTCGAGATTTCAGACAACTGCTCAGACCGTTGTTAACTAGTTCCAACTAAGCCATGTGCCCGAGTCACTATTTCAACCTCTCTGGCTAAAGAGACGTTTGTGAAAGCTGTCAGAGCTTGGTGTCAACACAGGAAGGGCATGAGATTGGGCCATTTCAGGAAGCAACCACACCTTTACCATGGCTGAGGGTAGCCTAGGCACTGCCCTGTCAGAGCTAATAAAATGGATGTCAGGTTACTTGGCCCCTGGAGGTCAAACTTGTCTGGGAGATTCCCTGCAGGGTTGCAAACATGGCCTGAGTTACTCATGACCAAGCAGTCAACAGACTGAACTGGCAGAATGGTACAAGGCCCAGAGAACTGAAGCCCAAGACAAGCTAGTCTAGTAGCTGAAGTCAGGCAATCATGCCACTGAGGCTCCTGAGCAGGAGCAAAGCTTCTTTTTTTTTCCCATTTATTTTTATTAGTTGGAGGCTAGTTACTTAACAATATTGTAGTGGTTTTTCTCATACATTGACATGAATCAGCCATGGATTTACATGTGTTCCCCATCCCGATCCCCCCTCCCACCTCTCTCTCCACCCGATCACTCTGGGTCTTCCCAGTGCACCA